GGAGGCGCTCCGCAGGCGGCCGCCCGCCGTCGCGCAGCCGGGGCAGCAGCGGCGGCGGCGACGACTGCGACGGCGCGGGCGGGGCGGGGCGGCGGCGGCGACGGCTGCGACAGCGCGGCGGCGTCGGTGGGGAGGGCGGCGACGGCGACGTCCTCCTCCTCTTGCTCTTGCTCCTGCCTCCTCCTCCGCCGCCGCCTCCTCCTCTTCCTCCGACTCCTCCCACAAAGTGAGTGCTTGTGCCCTCGGCCGTGTGCGTCGCGATAGCTCCCACGAGTGGTAGCCGATTGTTCTGATCGCTTGGACTGGTCTCTTCTCGTCCCCTGCTCTTGACCGTCCGTCCCCTCGCGCGTGGCTGGGTCATTCCTCTTCCCTCCTCATCTCGGCTCGAGGGCCCCTGACCCAGAGCGCAGCCGCGACCCGAAGCCCCTGGCGCAGCCATCAGCTTTCTCCGCGCATTGCGAGACCGGACGCATTGCACTCCGCGGTTTGACTGATTCGCGTCATCCGCATATTCCCGCACGCGCCGCAGTGGTTCCCGAGAGCCCTCGTCGTGTGCTTCATGTACCACCGCAGCCCAAGCCACCAGACAAGCCTCCAGTCCAGTCTTCTCGTGCGCCAGGAGGCCTGCACCGCTGCTTCCCGAAGCAATGGCGGCGCAGACCAGGCTGCTGCAGCCTACGACGAGCTCGTCCGAAAACACCCAACCGACTTAGGAACCGTTTGCCAGCAACACGCTCCAACCAGCCTCGGTTCAGGTGCGAGCCGTTGCAGGCGTTTCAAGATCAGCTACACAGAGGTGCATTTTGCCATTGCACACGTGACGGGCAACAGCCATAGCCAACCAGGGTTCCTGGCCCTGGCCGTTATCCACCAGGATAACGGCACAACCCCTATCATCAGCCTCGGCGCACCAATTTTGGACGTCCCGGCCGCGCCTGCGCTCAAGAGGGCCGGCCACGGGATCTCACAGACCAGTAGCATTCCTCAAAACCCCGCTGAGCGTCAAGAGAACTAGGCTGCGACGAAGATCGCGCCCAGGTGATCGCCGATAAGACTGACGCCCGCTTCCGCAGCGTCGAAGCGGAGCAGCAGAGGCTCGCCGACATTGTAACTTGCCTTGAAGACGCGTTGACCAGAGTGGCCACCAGGCAGGCTACTCTGGTCCAGCAACGCCACCAGCAGGTATGTTCTCCTTGGTCCAAGGAGAGCAGGTATGCTCTCTTTGGACCAAGGAGAGCATACCTGCTGGAACACAGCCCTACGCGCCTTCTTGCCTAACTCGGGAGCTGACGTCTTGGACGACGAATGGGACCCCTGCGACGAAGTGGACACGTGCCCCTGTGACGAATGGGACCTTTGCGACGACTTGGACCCCTGCGACGCATGGCCTCCAGCGTGCCAGGTAGCGTGGGGGCCCGGTCGTATGGCATCGGGAATGAGCCTTGGCCCGTCAGGGTACACGAAGCACCATGACATCGGTCAGTGCTTCGTCGAGTAGGGCGAGATACAGCTCAAGCAGTTTCACCTTACGAGCGAGACAAGCGGTGCGTCGAACACTTTCCAGCAGTGCGTCTGCGACCAGCAGCTCGACTCTGAGCAACGCGACGGAGTTGAGTACCGCGATGTTGGGCAGTACGACGGGGCCTATCATCGCCGCGTCTGTCAACAACACGTCTGCCAGTGGCACCTGGACACTGACCGTCGCGAGGGGTTGAGTGCCACAGCGTCAAGCAGCGTAACGGGAACGAGCGCCAAAACCTTGGCATTCACGAGTGTGACGAGCAGCGTAACAAGGTCCATGGCCAGCCCGCCAGGGTTCGGGCACATAGGCACCAGCAGTCTCACACTCACCCCTGCGACGAGCAGTGTTAGGAGCAGCGCGTCCATCAGCAGGACCTACACGACCAGCGCTTGGACACCGTGCGTCCCGACGGAGTCGAGTACCACCGCGTGCGCTGCTACGGGCCCAACATCGGCAGCCCCGCGCCGAGTGGGACGACCAGTGCATGAAGCATTACACACGCCAACAACACATTTGTCACCAGCGCCTCGACACCGAGAAACACGACGGAGCTGAACACCGCGACGCTGAGCAGGACGAGGGGATCCCGCACCAACAGCCGCACTTCCAGGAGTGAGACGACCAGTGCAGCCCGAAGGGAAAAGTCTCGCAAGACCACACGGCCGACGGGCGGCCGCGACCGCGGGAACCGGGCCACCCCCCGAGGTGTCAGGTCCCCGACTGTGCTGAGAACGAGGACGGGCTTAACGGTGCCGACCGCGAGTTCTGGAGCCCGGCGCCGCCGCGGCCGCGGCCCCAGCCAGCGCCAGCTCCCCGAACGCACCACGTCCTCGACGAGAATCGGCCGCACCGTCGCACGGCGGCCAGTCCCAACCAAAACGCACACGCGGCCGTCCTCAACCTCGGGGTCGCCGTGCAACGACCCGTGGCGATCGTCGCGAAGACGACCGCGGTCACCATCCCGCAGGCCCGACAGGGCAGGGCGGCTCGGGAGGCTCGTCCGCGGGGCCAGCTGGTCGGCCCACTCGTCGTCCAGGTCACCGTCGGAGGGGCCGTCGAGCGCCGGCGGCGCTGCGTTGCCATCTAGTGCTTTCGGGCCGTCCTCGCCCGTTTCCTTGCCCTTGCCCTGCGCCGCGTCGCCCAGCGCAGCACGCACCCCCTGGTCCTCCGCGCCCTCCGCGTTCAGCTCCATCACCGTCGCCAGTGCCGCCGATCCCGCACACGCACGCCCACCTCGCCCGCGCGGGCGGCGCCCCCGCCGAGAGGCAGCAGCGGGCGAAGCCGCCGCCGTGGGAGGCGCGGCGGGCACGGGCGGTGCCGCCAGAACAGCGACGGCCGACCGCAGGAGGCCCTCAGCGGCGCGCGCGAGGCGGTGGGCCTCGCGGTGCTCGTTCGTCGGCCCAGCAGCGGCACGCGTCGCCAGGAACGCGCCACGGCGGGCATCCTGCTTACCAGGCATCGGAGCGACGGCGGCGGGGCGTGCGAGGACGACCTTGAGCGAGGAGGAGGTGGAGGAAGAGGAGGCGGAGGAGGAGGAGGAGGAGGAGGAGGAGGAGGAGGAGGAGGAGGAGGAGGACCAGTGTAAACCCAAGAGTCATCAACGACATAGTAGTAAACCCTCCCTCCAAGCTCACTCTTCATAGGCCCCCACACGGTTCATTTCCACAGGGGGAACTGCCTCGTTGGAAGACAACCGCTTGAAGACCCTGAAGCATGCCACAGCAGTGTTGTCGGGATTCCAACGCCACGGATCAACCTGACTGTTGCGTCTCGACGATCCGGAATCGTGCCAGAAACCATTTCTGGGACTTCACCACCGCGAAACAACTGACTTGTTGCACCTTCATGCTCCTGAATCTTTCCAGCACTCAAGTTCTGGTACCTCGATCAGGGGAGTCCGTGAAAATCTTTGCAATTTTTGAAAACGAATGTGCGCGGCGCTAGAGAGAGAACCACATTTTGAAAAGGAGCCGCCCTCAATCCGTGAAGTTCTAGCACATTTTTGTAACGGATATACGCGGCGCAAAGGCGAGAACCACATTGTGAAACCGATCCGCCTCCGAAAGTCTTGCACATCTTTAAAACGAATGTGCGCGGCGCTAAGGCGAGAGCTACAGTTTGAAATATTGTTGCCCTCAGTCCGTGAAGCTCCTGCAATTTTGTACAACGAATGTGCGCGGCGCTAAGGCGAGAGCCACATATTGAAAACGACCCGCCCTCCATCTGTGAAGCTGTTGTTGTAATTTTCAAGCCTCAGGGTCATAAGTGATACGGAGGTCTCAGTCGAAACGCCCGGACCGCCCTGACAACCTGCCTCGGGGTGTGACGGGGAGAAGTTCTTCAGCAGGAAAAGGAATGGAGGATGCGGATGATGATGGTGATGATGATGATGATGATGATGATGATGATGATGATGATGATGATGATGAGGAGGAGGAGGAGGAGGAGGAGGAGGAGGAGGAGGAGGAGGAGGAGGAGGAGGACCAGAAACACGAGTGAGAGAAGGAGGAGCGGCCCCAGGCTCAGAATGCCCCCCCCCATCGTGTTCTCTCCCCCCCCGGTGGGCGTCCTCTCCCACGCTGCCCTGGGCCTCGGGGGCTCGCTCCGGACGCTCCTCGCTCCTCCTCCTCCTCCTCCTCCTCCTCCTCCTCCTCCTCCTCCTCCGCATCCCCACACTCCTGGTCCTCCTCCTTCGGGGGTGGACAGAACCCCCAAACAGTGACACGTCGATTAGGGAATGGTCCGTTTTCGGTTCTCGAGAGGGCGCCGCGGCCGTTCTTTTCCCGGCTTGCGCCCGCCAGGCTTGAGCCTCGGGTCGTTTTTTCACTGAACCGCGTGCTACTGAAGGGAGGCCTGTCCATCCCCGACGAGACCCGAACCCTCACGAGGACGTGTTGGTAGCTGGCTCGGAGGTTAAGAACAGCCCTAGCTCTGGACGGACTCCTGTTCTGTTCGTCGTGTTTGGGCCCTCCACCTCGGAGAGCGGGCCTTCGGCTCGCATTCTTGACGCGCGTTCTTGTGGCCACGTTCCGACCGTATGCCTAACCAGAAGTTCGAGAGTGGGCGCAGACCCCCAGTCGGCGGGGACTCCACTGCCTGGCCCCCCCTCGCTCGGCGGCCCCCCGCGCCCGCATCGGGCCGCCCTGCCTTGAGCAAAGTACAGGAGTCCAGAGGCCTCCCAGCCCAGAACGAGCCAGTCGTGGACCCGCTTGCGGCTTGCGATCCCTTCAGGCTCCGCGGTCCAAGAGCGAGTTTTTCGTGTGGCAGTTACCGCCGACACTTGCAGTCGGGAGCTTTGGCCCAGCGTGTCGCGGCGCAGGTTTTGGCCCACCACGCTTCGACGTGAGACGCCAAGCACTTCCAAGCATCAACGTCCCGAACCTTTCCCAGCCTTCCGCCCTGCGTAGCGGAGCGACACGCTGTCAGCCCGCAAGGCACAGCGTGTCGCCAGGGCTGCCGCCGTGACACGCTAAACAAAAGTTCCTAAGCGTACGCGTGCCACCCGAGCCCCGACTGGCCTGCCGCCGAGGGAGTTCGCGTCCCGGGCCCAGCGGGATTCCGCCCTCGAGCAGGAACTGTCCTCGCTGCGCCAGGACGGCCCGCCCCGCCCCCTCCCAAAGGCCGTCCAGGGCACCTGCAGGCGAGGTGGCTCCAGGCCTTCCAAGTGGGGTCCGAGCAGATGGGGTCGGAGGATCGAATCCGAACCGCATCGCCGATGCGTCTCGATGCGGCTCGTTTTCTCTATGTTGACATCGCCGATGCATCGGTGATGCGGCGCGATCCTCCGACCCCATCTGCACGGACCTCGTTTGGGAGGCCTCGAGTAGGGAAGAGGGCTTCGTGCATGTGTGCGTGCCATCGTGCCTGCATGCTGGCGTGCTCGGCCGCTTCAGTGCTCGCATGCCTGCGTGCCTGGGGGAGGGGGGGGGCGGCAAGGCAAGGACACGGGGGGGGAGGGAGGGTGGATGTCGTCGCAACGGCTCCAGGGTCCCCCCAACCATCCTAGGACCCCAAGGCCTTCTCCCGCATGCGAACATCTTTGCCAGTAAGGGCAATCTAATGTGCATTTCCTGCATGTTGTTTCACCAGCTCAACCTTACTCTGCAGGGCAGCGCGCCCTTCCTGCGAAAACCGCCCGCCGCACACCTCCACCACCATGAAACATGACGACGCCGTGGTCTCAGAGCTATCGACCTGGCGTTTCCTCCTCCTCAGGAGGGACAGTTTCTCGGCCCCTGACTCTCTAGCAAAATCTTTGGTCAAGCAGTGCCAGGGACTGCCAAGCAACGCCAAGAAATGCAACGCAATGCCTCTGAACGCGAAGCAATGCAAAACATTGCGAAGAACACGTGACGCGTGTGGGTCTGAGTGCCCAGCCCATGTGAACATGTTGTTCGACCCCGCTTTGGGTCGCAAAGAAGACACTTATGCTTATCCCCGCCATCGCTATGTGGAGCCCAAGCCTCAGGGATGACGATATGATTCGCACTATCCAGTCGAATATTCAGCGAAAGTCGTATCCTCAGGATCCGTAGCAAATTTGGCTCAAGTGTCTGGCTCAATGTCCTAGATGTGGACTGGACAGGCCAGTCTGACTCTTTCACTGTGCTTTCATCATGACCAGCGGGCGCACCTGGGACGTCGTCGGCGTCGGGACCGTGGCTGTACTCGGCTTGCTCGGCATTCGGAGGAGGCTCGACAGCCAGCAGCTGCAAAATGGCGTGCCGAGCGGTGGTGCCGAACTCGACCTGGCTGGTACGCAGTGCGTGGTGACCGGCGCCTCCTCGGGCATCGGCTCGGAGGTGGCTTGGCGGCTGGCCTCCGCACGCGCAGAGCGCGTGGTGATGGGCTGCCGCGACCTGGGGCGGTGCGAGCAGGCGCGGTCGGCGCTGCTCACGAGGTGCCTTGCTGCGCGCGACCACGGGGCGGCAGACAGTGAGCAGCTGCTGCGCGCCGGGGCGCGTGCGGCGAGACGCCGCGACTGCGGAGAGGCGCACGGAAGGCTTGCCTGCATGCAGCTGGAGCTTACCGAGCCCGCTTCGGTGCGGCATTTTGCGGGTGAGGTGTCGCGATCGTCGCGCGGAGAGCCTCTCATACTGGTGAACAACGCGGGCGTCATGTGCTCACCGACCAGAGGAACGGCTGGAGCATCACGTCCTTGCGAAGAAGATCCTCAGCTGTGGACTAACCACTATGGGCATTTCCTCCTATCATCCTTACTTTTTCCAGCCATGCGCAGCGGCTCGATGGTCGTTGTTGTGGCGAGCAGGGCGCATTTTCAAGGCGCGTTGACTCTGCAGACCAGTGGCGGGTCGGAAACGGTGAGGAGTGAGGTCATCGATGGATCTCCTCCGTTCGCCAGGCTCTTCCACATGGTTGGTCTGGATTGGTATGCCCGCTATGCGCGATCCAAGCTCTGCAACGTCCTCTTCGCTGCCGAATGGCGCCGGAAAAACCCACGAGGGCCTGCGTGTGTCGCCATATCCCCAGGACCAGTACACACTGGGATCTTCGCAAATCTTTCGCCACCGCTTGGCCCGATGCTGTCGGCGCTGGCCAGCAGATTCTTCAAGAGCTCGGAGGAAGCGGCGGACCACCTGGTTGCGGTCATCGCTGCAGCGCTCGAGGCGCAAGCAGAGGGCACGCTGGAGGGACTGCCGCTGTATTGGCACTGCGGCGTGCCGCAGCAGCACTCCGCCGCGGCCGCACACGAGGGCCTGGCGGCTGCGCTCTGGCGCGCCAGCGAGGCTGCAGTAGGACTTGGCAGCGATCAGCGCGTGCGATGAACGAGAGCCAAGGGTGGCCTTGCGAGTTGTGAGAACGTAGTGAGCCTGCAGGATGGGAGTCACAGCGAGCCCCCACGAGGAAGCCAGCACGCAAGTTTCGCAACCAGTGGGTGTTCAAAGGCAACAGCCGAACTTGGGTCTTTGGGCTCTTTGGGTATCGTTGCCGTTGCGTAGAGGGCTCCCTTGAGGCCGTCCGGGACGCTCTGGGGCCTCTGTTGGGGCCTCTTGGGGCCACGTTGGCGTCCCTTGGGGATCTGGAGGTCGTTTGGCGTGCCTTAGGATTGTCTGGGGGCGTCTTGGGGCCCTCTTGGAGCTCTCCAGGGCTGTACTGGGGCCTTTCGGCCAGTCTGGAGCCTCTTCGGGGGCCCTCTTAGGGGTCTTCTTGGGGGCATCTTGTTCGCTTCGTAGGCCGTCTTGATGAGCTCTTGGGAGCCTCTTGGGTTGCTGTGGATGGTATGAAGACTGGGAAAGCGAAACTGCCGAACCATACACATATCTCAGACAGTGTATCTGTTGGCCTCTGACGAGGGCTCCTGGGAGCCCTTTCGGGCTCTCTGTCTGGGTCCGTCTTGCAAGCCTCTTCGGACGTCTTCGAGCCATCCTCGGCCGTCTCTAGCCCGCCTTGGTCGTCTTGAGGGTCTCTCGGCGGCAACTCGGAAGCTTCTTGGGGCCGTCGCAGCCCGTCTTGAGTTATGCGGTGAGGTCGTTTGTGAAGGAGTTTACCCAGGAGGTTTCAGACCCCAGAGGATTCCTTATCTGATGAGGGCGGCTGTGATGTCCATGGCCAAGTCTCAGTTTGTGTACTGCCGGCTTCAGACCCTAGATTCCTTTCCTAGGGTTCCTGATCCAATGCCCTCACCGTATTGGAGCCCTCTATCACCGTCTTGGCGCCACCTGGGGGGGGGTCGGTGAATCACCAGGACCCAAGATGACTTAAGATGGGCCGTCAACGCCACCACCTGGAGCAGACCTGAGAACCGACGCCCGCATAAGAGAAGCGATGGTGAGGATGCGTGGGTCCACCCTGAGCGCCTTACCATAGCCTACCCTCCAATCTTTCCGTGCATATCTGCCAGCTCTGCCTCTTCACCATAGCCATGCCACCTTGTGCTCGCTCTGCTCGCTGGGGGCCTGCCGTTTCCCTGGGGTCGCGTATCCCTGGGATCGCGGCCTGGCCTCCCGACCACGAGGGCGGGACTAGGCACGCACTTCCTCATCACGGCTGGAGGGAAGCGCGATCGGCTTTCTTTCCGTGTCGGGCCGAGCATTTGCAGGACTACGTTTTCCCTATTTAGGCTTTGCCTCAGGGGTGTTGTTTTGGAAAGAGCCAGTGGGTGCTACGTTCCTTATCCGAGGCGGGCCCTAGCGATTCCTTGGGGCGTTGTCCGGTTTCCCCGGTTTTGTTCTTTGAGCTCCCCCGTCCTTCTTCGGTTCCCTGGTCTTGTTTGTTGCCTTCCTTTCTCTGGTACTCTGGTCTTGTTCCTCGGGTATCCAGGTTTTGTTCCTTGGGTCCCCCAGTCTTTGCAATGCCAGCCAATGCCAAGCACTGCGGGACAGTGCGAAGCAATGCCAAGCACTACTAAGCACTGCCTTACAAAAACAAGCCAAGCAAATCAATGTCAAGCAACGCCAACCAATGTCAAGCAATGCCAAATAATGCTAAGCAACGCCAGGCAACGCGACGCAATTCCAAGACATACGAAACAACTCAAAGCAATGTCAAGCAATGCCAAACACTACCAAGCAAGACCAAGCAACGCCACGCAGCGCAAAGCAATGCCACGCAATGCCAAGCAACAACTCCAAGCAGTGTCAGGCAATGCCGATCAATGTCAAGCACAGCCAAGGAATGCAACGCAACGCCAGGCAGTTCCAAGCAATGCAAAGCAATGCAGTGCGCTGCCAACCATTGCGTTGCCTGGCATGGCTTTCAATTGTTCTGAATTGCTTCGGGACAGAGGACCCCTAGTAGGGGTTGTGCTGGGTTCATGTTTTTTAGTTTTGTTGTTGTTGCTGTTGTCGTCGTCGTGGTTGTCGTTGTTGCATTTGTTTTTGTTCACGCCATGGGCCATCACAACTCTTGACCCCATACCTCGGACGTTCTTTTTGCGTTGTGTATCATACTCGCAGGCCCCCAGGCCAAAACATGGTCCCCAGACCCTAGACGCCGAGCATGTTTTTTTGTTCCGCGACGCCTGAGATCCCCCCCGCCCGTAAGGCTGGCCCCATACAGTCAACCCGCATAGTGAGGATGCGCAACTTTCCAAGGTTACCCTTGCATCCTTCTCTTTCGGCCCATCCTTGGCCGCTTTCGCTGGCCTCGCCCCACCCGCAAAGTGTCGACATTGCATCGTTCATTTTTATCATACGGGTTGACCGTACACGCCAGTCGTTGAAAGTAGGTATTCTTGGATTCCCAGATCCCAATCTACTTCAAGCGCCGTCCTACTTCAGTAATCGACATGATTTTGCTGTGTTTTGTTGTTCTCTGGGAGGGCTTGGACCCAATCCACTTTATCCGCCTTCTACTTCATGTTTGTACCTACTTCTTCCGACCGACGTGTAATCATTGCGCAGTCGTGGGGCCTCGCAGGTAGGGCGCACCTGGCAGGAGTATGCCGTGACGCCGCGCGAAAAAGGCTTCGAGTGAGGCCGGATGGTTGGGAAGAAGCATCCGAGCCCATGCCCTGCCCACCCCCTCCTCTCCTCCGGCGTTGCATGTGTTGCCACCTGGGCCCCAGGGGCTTCGACCCGTCCTCCAGGGCCAGCTCTTCTTCATCCCTGGCGAGGACGAGCCAGAATGGCTCGCGGACGAGCCAGAATGGCTGCGATGCGCGCACAAGCCTTCCTATAGGGGCGTTTCCTCCTCGCTCCTCGCTCTTCGCTGCTGCTCGCTGCTCGCCGCTCGCTGCTCGCTCCTCGCCCCTCCTCGCCCTGTGCGCCTCGCCCCTCCTCCGGCTTCGACCCGTCCTCCAGGGCGCAGTCCTACGCGGCCCCGGGGGCCCAGGAGGAGCACCCGGAGTCCGAGACGTGCGACGCGAGTCATCTTGTCTCGAGCGAGCCCCTCCCTATAGAAGACGAGGCGGGATGATACCCGGGGAGCACTGGCTCGCTTCGGGCCCGGCGGCCGCAGCATGCCGTCGCTCGTCGACGGCACGGGGCGGGGCACCCGGGGAGCGCCTGGACGCTTTGGGCCCAGCGGCCCCGGTATGCAGGGCGTGTGAGGCTGGTCGGCACCTCATTATCAGGGGCGAAAGAAGGACGTACACGTACACGAATCCACGCTGTGTTCGAGAGTTCGCATTGCGCGAATGTTCGTATCACGCGGCAGGTCTCGCGGGTCAAGGGGCCGCGTTCGTGTACATAGCTGGGTGCGTACGTCCTTTGTGGGGTCCGTAACCTTCTTTCTCTGATTCAAGGGGGAAAGAACCACCCGGACCCGACAATTGGCGTTTACTGAACGGCCCTGGGCGTTTACTAAACAACCCTGCCCTGTTCGATTCTTTCCCCGGGTTCGTTTACTAAACGGCCTCGCTTGTCGGGGCGATTCCTATGGGGGTGGATTTTCTGCCCTCCATTGATTGCAGCAGCTCCAACCTGTCGGGCAGGGAATCGCCGTTACGATTTGTTTTTGCGACGCCTTGATCTGAGGGCCTTCCCGCCTCCGCTCAGCGAGTACCCCCGAGGACCTCCGCGCCGCCGCCAGCGAAGCCGAGGGGCTGCGAAGGCGGCGCGGCGCCAGACCCTCGGCAGGAGGCGGCAGGAAGGGAAGGAGAATGAAGACGACGAGCGCGAAGACAGTAGCGCTGTTTGTGGCGGTGAGGAGGAGGAGGAGGTTGGAGGAGGGAGGGGGAGGGAGGAGGAGGGAGGAGGAAGAGGAGGAGGAGGAGGAGGAGGAGGAGGAGGAGGAGGAGGAGAGATCAGGAGGGAGGAGGATCAGGACGGACGGACGGACGGAGAAACGACGAGGAACGGAGGAGGAGGAGAAGGAGGAGGAGAAGGAGGATCAACAAGGAGAAGGTCGACGAGCAGCAGGAGGAGGAGGAGGAGGAGGAGAAGGAGGAGGAGGTGGAGGACGAGGAGGAGGAGGTGGAGGAGGGGGAGGAGGAGGACGAGTAGCATGAGGAGGCGGGGGAGCACGAGGATCAGGAAGAAGATCATGGAGTGATTGAGGGTGGGAGGGTGACGATGATGATGAAGATGATGAGGGCGATGAGGAGGAGTCATCTCCTTTGACATGACACTACGGACGACGAGAGGGATGGTAATGAAGAGAAAGGGGCAATTGGCCATGATGAGCTCACCTACGATCAGCCCCAGCCGCGGGTTCGCTGAGCCCACCTGTTGGTCACATCTGGGGTGCAGCGCAAATGCTATGCCCAAGTGTGGAGATCTCTATTCTCCATACTTGGACATAGCGCTGGCGATGGGGTCCCTCCGTTCTGTATTGAGCATTGCCGATCGCACGTTGTGGCCAGCTGAGTGGTCCAGAACTCTTTTTCCGTCGCTTGCAGATTGGCTTGTCGGCTGGTGCGTGTGACCTGCCTACCTGCAATTGTGTGTGGCAGTGCCTTGGCTTCTATGGTAGTGCAGTGTTAATTCCCTTGATTGTTCTGGCAGCGTGGTTGATCTTCGCAGGCGATGGCCATGTCTTGGCAACTTGTAGCGGTTTCCATTGTCGCCAGGTGGGTTCATGTGTCTGGTCTTGCCTCATGGGCTGGTCGCTGTTTGTTCTCATTGGGGGTGTCTGGTTACACTTAATGGATAGCTTTGAGCAGCACGCTGGGACCAATATTTCACCTGCGCGCTGGGACAGTAATTACATCAACGTGCCTGGACAGCTATTACACCAGCGCGCCAAAACAGCTTTTACACCAGCGCGCTGTAACAGAGCGCGGCGGGACAGCTAGTGTACTAGTGCATGGGGCATACTTGCAGTATGACGTTCTGGCAGATTGGCTTCTGTTGGGGGGCAGTCCTGATGCACCTGTGCTGGCTACTCAGTTTCAGAACTCTCGGGCACCTTGCGCCTTGGCACATTGTCGCGTCCTCTCCAGCCTCCGGGCTTTTTTGTATGCTTCGTGTCTTCACTGCTTGCATTGCGGTTGCGGTTTTCGTTTTGCGCTCACTGGCTGGCGCCTCTGCGCCCCCCGTGTGCCTGCTTTGGGCGCTGCAGGCCCACTGTCCGGTGCCTCCCTCCTTCGCTTCTGGAGGCGATCGGGCAAGGGGGATCGGCCGTTTTCTCATTCCCTGGCCCTCGAGAGTACGAGCCGCCGCCCCCGCCTCGGCACACAGACTGCTGTGATGCCCCCTTCCTCATCACCCTTCCCGCCTCCGCCGCCCCTCGTCCCCTGGTCCCTCGCCGTCTCTCGTCCCTGCTCCTCTTCCTCGGCCCTCCCGGCAGCCTCCTCCTCCCACTGCTTGCCGTCCTCCGCCTCCTCCGCCTCCTCCGCCTCCGCCTCCTCTCTTCTCCGCCTGCGAGGCACGAGCCGCGCACCTTTCCTCATGGGGCTGCGGCCCTCACTCTGCCGCCTCCTCCTCCTCCTCCTCCTCCCTCCCTCCCTCCCTCCCTCCCGCCCTCCCGCCCTCCCTCCCCTCCCTCCTCCCTCCCTCCCTCCCTCCCTCCCTCCTCTCTCCTCCTCCTCCTCCTCCTCCTCCCTCCTCAGGCTGGCTGGGCTGCCGCTACTCGCTTGAGATGAGCCCCTTCACTGCAGGTGCGCTGGCTCATGCTTGGCGTAGGCCGCCGCTGCTCGTGGGTGAAAGGATTTCTTTATCTAGGCCTCGCCCACCTCGGCCATTGGTGTACGTGTGCTGCGCCACGGTTGATGCCAACGCAGAAACTTCCTCCTCCTTCCTCCTAATCCTCCCCCTCCTTGTCCTCCCTCCTCCCTCCTCTCCGTCCTCCATCCTCCCTCCTCCGTATCCTCCCTGCTCCCTGTGCCCTGACCCCCCGCTCCCCCCGCCCCCCCCCCCCCTTGGGCAGGTCTCCCTCCCGCCCGCTCGCGCGCACTCGCCCAGGGAGTTCGCCAGCCAGGTGCAGCGCGCGGGCGCGTCGCAGCAGGACCTCGGCTGGCTTCGGCAGGAGACCCCCGCCCCCCGCGCTGGCCCGCCCGAGCGCGGCGGGGGGCATGAGAGCAACGGGCACCGATACCGACATCCGGTTCTAGTGTTGTGCGCTCGTGGGCTTCCTGGGAGCCCCTCGACGCCACAGTTGTATTCGAGTCGACGTTCTGGCCAGAACGCACCCCTGGAGAGGTCCCGCAAGTCGGGGTAGCGGCATCTTTTGGTTACCCCTGATGCTTGTCTGGCGGTCGCGGGGAGGAGAGAAGCGAGGTCAGGGGGCGGGAACGGGAGGGGAGGGAGGGAGGGGAGGAAGGAAGAGAGGGCGAAAGGAAGGGGTGGAGGGAGGGAGAGAAGAGGGGCGGGAGGGACGCGTTCTTCGGACTCTTCCGTTCCCTCCTCGGGCCTTAGGTTGCATCCTGAGGCCTCGAGGGACATTCTAGGGCTTCTGGAGGACCCTGGGGGCCTCAGGTGGGCTTCGGGGGCAGCCAGAGACCTGCAGAGACTTCCCGATGAAGGGACGCACCGAGGAGGAGAAGGAGGAGAAGGAGGAGGAGGAAGACGAGGAGGAGGAGGAGGAGGAGGAGGAGGAGGAGGAGGAGAAGGAAAAAGACGATGAGGAGGAGGACCAGGTGAAACCCAAGAGCCATCAACGATGTTGGAATACACCCTCCCTCCAAGCTCCCTCTTCATAGGCCCCCCCACAACGGTTCATTTCCATTGAGGGAACCGCCTCGTTAGAAGACAACTGTTAGAAGACCCTGAAGCATGCCAAACCATTTTTTCTCGGGATTCCAACGCCGCGGATTAGCCTGACCGTTGCGCCTTGACGATCCTGAATTGTGCCAGAACGCCATTCGGTGGATTTCAATACCGCGAAACAACACAATTGTTGCACCCGCAAAATCCGGAGTCCTTCCAAACACCATTTCTGGTACGTTGATCACGGGAACGCCTGAGACTCTTGCAAATCGTATACACGAATGTGCGCGGCGCCAAGGCGAGAGCCACATGTTGACAAGGAGCCCCACCCTCAATCCGTGAAGCTCTTGCATTTTTTTTGATGTGCGCGGCGCTAAGGCGAGAGCCACATTTTGGAAATCACCCGCCCTCAACCCGTGAAACTCTAGCATCTTTTGAACGAATGTGTGCGGCGCTAAGGCGAGAGCCACATTTTGAAAACCATCCGCCCTCAACACTTGGAACTCTTACAATTTGTTAGAACGAATGTGCGCGCGGCGCTAAGGCAAGAGCCACGTTTTGAGCATCACCCGCCCTCAATTTGTGAAATTGTTGCCAATGTTTAAACTTCACAATCATAAGTGGCGAGGAAGTCTCAGGATTCGCCCGCCCTCAAAACTCGCCTCGGGGTGCGACAGGGAAAATATATTTATACGGAAAGGGAATGGAGGAGGAGGAGGAGGAGGAGGAGGAGGAGGAGGAGGAGGAGGAGGAGGAGGAGGACGGGTTGCAAGCAGAAGCGGTGGTGGTGGGGGGCAGGCAGGGAGGGCCATACGCCCAGACTGTGCGCTCCAGACTATACGCCCAGACTGTTCGTTTCCTTCGGCTGCCGCGCCTCCTGCTGCTGCTCCTTGCGCTGCTCCTCTTCCTGCTGCTCCTCCCTGCTCCCAGAAAAGCCATAGCATGCGTGACGCTTCGACCAGAAGCCAACACAACATCGCCCCCTCCCGTTCCCCCCTCGCTTGCTTGTGTCTCCTCGCTCGTCTCTCCACAAGTACACCACATGAATACTGCCCTCCTCTCTCCCCCCACTCTGTCCAGGGAGCGCCCTTAGAGTGGCCGCCCCCCTCCGCGTATGTTCGTATTGTTTCACACATGTTGTGCGCAAGTTCGCTGTTCCTATGTGTTGTCTCAATTCCTTCGGTTGTGCTCCTTCCAGCATGGTGGTCTCGCTGCAGCATGGGCCTCATTTTCGGATCGGCGCTGTTCTCCCATCGTTTAGAATGGCCCTTGCGTCCCAGCGTGGGCAATTTTTCAGGATCTCGCAGGTCTCGCATGTCCCACAGGTTTCCCAGACCCACAGGTCCCACAAAAACCACAAGTGTCGCAGGTCGTCCCACAGTTCTCATATGCACATCCGGTCTGACAGGTTCCGCAGGTCACCCAAGTGTTACAGGTCTAGCATGCCCAGGTCCGACAGGTCTCGCATGTCCCACAGGACCCAGAGGTGTCGCATGTCTCACAGGTCCCGAGGCCCCCAGGTCCCACAGGTCCCGCAGGCCCCACTGGTGCCACTGGCCCCACAGGTGCCACTGGCCCCGCAGGTCTCGCAGGTCTCACGGGTCCTGCACTTCTCACATGTCCCACAGGTCCCACAGGTCCCACAGGCTCCACTTGTCCCATAGGTGTCGCAGGTCTCACAGGCTCGACAGGCCACAGAGGTCCCCCAGGTCGCGCAGGTCCCACAAGCTTCACTTTTCCGACTGCGCATAACACACTGGGGTCTTTCTGGAGTTCCAGGTCGGCTGCGACACGCGTCAGCGCAATGGGAGCGGATGGGAGGGAGGGCTAGGATGTCGGATATGGCGCGAGCGCACCTAGCTTGTCCCTCTTCCCCTCTCCCTCCTCCCTCGTCGTCCTCGTCGTCCTCGTCGTTGCCGTCGTCGTCGTCGCCGTCGCCGTCGCCGTCGCCGTCGTCGTCGTTTGTAGCACGTGGCAGGTCAGGGGTGGCAGTGGACGTGTGAAGGATCATGGGCGTGCAACTCCCCCCCCTCTGTCCTCCGCTCAAGGGCCGCAGGGATAGCATGTTGTCTTCGGCCGCCATGTTCTCCCAACCCCCTTCTCCCAACCTCAGGGCTCTGCTGGATGGCTTCCCTGCAGGGCTGGGTGGGCAGGCTGATGACGGATTCAGGCGATTGGGGATCCAGAGCTCCAGCACAGTCGGCGGGGGCTCGGACGCCTCCGCAGAGCTATGTGCAGATCTGGGAGTCGACGCTGGATCTGATTTACCATCTTTTCACACGGCCTGCCGGGCTGCTTTCTCATGGCATTTGGGGGATCGGGCGGGGGAATGCCTCCCCTGCTGATTTTCGCGCAGTCCAGGGGCCGCGGCCACTGACACGTCCTCGGCTCGTGCTCGAGAGCGGGGAGCGGCGACACGGAGTCGCGCCGATACGGCTTGCAGTGGCGATACGCCCTCCCCCTTTGGGGTGGGGCGGGGTCGGAGCGGGGCGGCTTGGAGGCGAGCATGCCTCACCACCGGGCTGTAGTGCTGGGTGGCCTGCGGGCCCCTCTCACTGAACCAGAGAATCGCGGAAGTGTGGCGATGGCCTTTCAAGACCTGGCAGAAGGGAACGGCGTATTTTCATTGGGGATGCGGAGGAGGTGTGGTCCCAAGTGGCATTCGGTTCCCTTTGAAGCTACTGGCCACAATGGCGTAAGTGGACGGGTCGGTGCCAGTCTTTGTCTCGAAATGTGTTGCACCCTTTATAGTTACGGTGTTTTTTTTTGCCGAGGCGAAGAGGACGGGACCGATTGCGCCACGGACAGCGTTCCGTGCCGTGAGGTGGTTCGAGCTGCAGTTCGGTTTGTTGTTGCACACCACTCCTTTAACTGTCAAGGCTCGTGCGCAAGCACCAGCTGAGTTCGAGGTGAAGCGGGCCACACCACGGTTCCCTGTTGTGCTACTGCATTCCGAGGTCACCGCCACTTCGACACGCTGGTATGTCTCTTGGCTGTATTGTATCTGCTTGTTTCTCACTCGCGGTGTCTTGAGATTTGCCCACGTGCAGCGGCCGTCGGTAACTCAGCTGCAAGCTGCAAGGCTGTTTGGGCGCTGCAGTTTGGGCAGGTCTCCAATCAGCGGCCAGAGGGGGCCGCAGCGCTGGGCTGCCCCTCGGCGCTTGATCACTGGATTCGACTTGGGCGCGATCCTGACCATCCTGCTGAGAAGCCTCGAACAGCGCGTCACTGGGGAGGCCCCCCTGCAGGACGGGCGCGCCAGGCAGCGGGGAGCGCTCGGGTTCTTGCTTCCGGCCTTCGGCCCCCCGCGAGCGGAGCTGGAGCCGTTGCAGTCTACGTCTGGACAGCCGATGATCATGGGGAGCTTCCGCCGCCTCAGCAGGCAGCTGATGCGGGCGCCTCTGTCCCTGGCTCCGCGCTGTGCGAAGCAAGTCTCTTCTTACTCCCGCGGCAGAGTTCTGTCATACTGTCGCTGATTTGCTGGATTTGTCTCCGGCGGTCAAGGTCAACGTCGGGGCGTGGCATGTTAAGGCTGCAAAGGGCAGCAAGTGAGCATTTCCTTATCTTCTTAGAAGAAAATCTTAAGTCCTGGCTGTCACGCCGTGGCAGCCGTCTGGTATGCAGCTCGCCAGCCGGGCTTTGGCTATGCCGGACCGTTACTCGCATGAGCGGGTCCGTGTCACTGGGCGTACGCGGGCCCGCTTGTGTGAAGCCGTCCGTGGGGCGCTCGGCTTAGGGCCTGGCGCCGATGGGGACGCGATTGAGTCGCGCATCCGGCCGGGTTTGCAGCTCACGCGGGGGCACCTTCTGGGGCCCACTGGGCCAGGGGTGGCTCATCGGTCGTCCCGGCTTTGCCTGCTGTTTCCTTGGGGTCGGCGGCTGGGCATGGTGGCTCGGTCGTTGGCTCGGGGCGGCTGGTGGCGGGCGGCGGCCGTGTTCGCTTGGCTTTGCCTCGGCCTTCCCGGTTCGGTCATCCTCTGAAGCTCCACCTTATCGAGTGAAATCGGGGGCGCTGACCTGCTGTGGGAGGAATGAGTTTGCAGGACGCTACCTATGGCGAGGGCCTCGAGGCCGCCAGGGCCACTGGTGGGTCCCAGTCCCCGTTGCCGCAGGCGCCTTGCTGGACGGGCTTGGTAATGTGATTAGGGAAAAAACATAGCTATCCATCGTTGTCGCCATCTCATCCGTGATTCCCCCATTTACTAGTAGTAGCAGTAGTAGCAGTCGTAGTGCTAGTAGTAGTAATCGTATTATTATTATTACTATTATTATTATTATTAGTAGTAGTAGTAGTAGTAGTAGTAGCAGTAGTAGTAGTACAGTAGTAGTAGTAGTAGTAGTGGTGGTAGTAGTAGTAGTAGTAGTAGTAGTAGTAGTAGTAGTAGTAGTAGTAGTAGTAGTAGTAGTAGTGGTAGTGGTAGTATTATTATTATTATTAGTAGTAGTAGTAGTAGTAGCAGTCGTAGTAGTAGTAGTAGTAGTAGTAGTAGTAGTAGTAGTAGTAGTAGTAGTAGTAGTAGTAGTAGTAGTAGTAGTAGTAGTAGTAGTAGTAGTAGTAGTAGTAGTAGTAGTAGTAGTAGTAGTAGTAGTAGTAGTAGTAGTAGTAGTAGTAGTAGTAGTAGTAGTAGTAGTAGTAGTAGTAGTAGTAGTAGTAGTAGTAGTAGTAGTAGTAGTAGTAGTAGTAGTAGTAGTAGTAGTAGTAGTAGAAGTAGCAATACAAGTATACGTAAACGTAGAAGAAGAACATAGTAGTAGTAGTAGTAGTAGTAGTAGCAGTAGTAGTAGGAGTAGGAGTAGTAGTAGTAGTAGTAGTAGTAGTAGTAGTAGTAGTAGTAGTAGTAGTCGTAGTAGTAGTCGTAGTAGTAGTAGTAGTAGTAGTGTAGTGTAGTAGTAGTAGTCGTAGTCGTCGTCGTCGTCGTCGTCGTCGTCGTCGTAGTAGTAGTAGTAGTAGTAGTAGTAGTAGTAGTAGTAGTAGTAGTAGTAGTAGTAGTAGTAGTAGTAGTAGTAGTCGTCGTAGTAGTAGTCGTAGTAGTAGTAGTAGTAGTAGTAGTAGTAGTAGTAGTAGTCGTAGTAGTAGTAGTAGTAGTAGTAGTAGTAGTAGTAGTAGTAGTAGTAGTAGTAGTAGTAGTAGTAGTAGTAGTAGTAGTAGTAGTATTGGTAGTCGTAGTAGTAGTAGTAGTAGTAGTAGTAGTAGTAGTAGTAGCAGTAGTCGTAGCAGTAGTCGTAGTAGTAGTCGTAGTAGTAGTAGTAGTAGTAGTAGTAGTAGTAGTAGTAGTAGTAGTAGTAGTAGTAGTAGTAGTAGCAGTAGCAGTAGTAGCAGGAGTAGCAGTAGAGTCGTAGTAGTACTCATGATGCTTATCTTACAAATGATGCTACTGCAAGTTGCCCCCCCCACCCCGCGATGCCACGTTAGAGGATTTGTTGGTCTGGTTGGGTCCCCCAGCAGGGCCACACTAGAGGATTTCTGATGCCACCGATCCCAGTCGAAGCCAGGCGGTAGGGAATTATGTGATTCACTGGGCTGGAGAATTGTTAGTGCATCTGCCCTCAGTCCTTGGACATAGTTTTACCCCTCTCCGTAGCTAGCAGGGCCCAAGTGCTGTGGGCGCCAGCCCGAGATCTTGCAGCTCGGAGAGTGGTGCAACAAGGGGGGTTACAGACTGTCGTGCTGGATCACACCGACAAGAAAGAGGATCGCTGCGCCCTGGCCTGGCTCAAAGTGGTTTGGGGCGAGGCTGTGGCCCCTTCCAAGGCCACCCTGGAGAGGCGAGCGCAGGGCTTGGAGGACACGGAGGTCGAGGACAGGTCTCTGAGCGCAGAGGTGCAGAAGGAAACGGAGGAGAAGTTCGAGACCTTCCACAAGTGGGTGATCGACCCGTCCTGTTTTGGAGACGACCTTCTCCTCGGGCCCATGGCGCGGGCGGGTTCAATAACGGCAAGCCTAGGATGTTCCCGGCGGCGAAGGTGATGACGGTCAGCAGGTCCAACCAGGCGGGCCACGCCAAGCGCGAGCGCGTGGGCCAGGGGAGCCTTGTTTACGAGGAGGCGGAGCCGCTCATCCTGGAGCTGGACAGCACCCGCCTCCACTACCGTTTGCGACAGCATGAGGTTATCGGCAACATGTGGGTTGTTACGGGGTGCTTTGTAGTTGGCGAGGGTGACAAGGCAGGCCCGTTTTGTCACTGGCAAGACGCCTGCCTGTACGTTGCAACGCTCATGGACAAGACGGAGGCGCTTTGCGACAAGTGCACCGAGGACTCCGTACTCGCCTACTTGGAGAAGGTGGAAGAGAGCCTTCGCGGTGGCGTTATTGGGGAGGTGCGCAAGCGCGCGGACCCCAGGACGTGGATGGAAGCCCTCCGGTAGGTTTTCAAGGGGCACTCCGAGACCTGGAACGAGCACAACGACACGCTTCGCCCCATCTTCGGTGCGAAGAGTGGCAGTCCGAACGCGCCCCAGTTGCAGGCGAGGTTCCGGGAGCTGCGCGGGGCCTTTCTCCGGCCGCAGCCGCAGCCGCAGCTTCCCTTGGAACCCGCAGCACGGCAAGCTGGTTTCCCAGGTTCTCGGAGCCTACCGCCGCGCGAAGACGGCCTCGGTCAGAGACATCAGGCGGCAAGAGCATCAAGCTCTGTTCGGCGCTGTTGTCGCACAGGGGGGGGCTAGTGGGGCATGTGCCCCAAGGTCGAGCTCAATGGCTGCAGCCTGGTGCTCGCCAAGTCCCGCCGGGCGTGCGGGCAGCGCCACAAACCGGCCAACCACGAGGAGACAACGCACGGCTACCTGATGCTGGCTTGACGGTGCGGGGGCTCTTGCGACGACGCGGGGTGGCCCCAATATGCACAGGAATTCTCATGGGGGGCATTGCCTTCTGCTGGGCCTAGTGGCCCGTCCGGGGGTGACCTTATCTGTAGGCCGATTGTGCTCTTGGCAATGATCGCCGTCGCTTGCCCCGTTGCAGCCGGACAAGAGTGCATGGGAGTGGAATTTTCGGATACTGATGTCTGGGAGTCCATTTACGACTCACTGCACGTGGGGCAATGCAATTACCTCCAACATGTGCTATATTGGTCACGCAGAGCGGCTGATTCTGGATTCGGTGTTGCAAGTGGTGCAGGCCCTACTCGGATCGTATTGTCGTGCTCGCTGCGAGCGTGGCTGCGCTCGGCGGCGTACAAGTTGAAATAGTTTGTGCAGTCTCTGCTGCCGTCCCTGATCTTCTTCTCCATCGTCTCCTCCTCTTTTTGGAATGTACGTCCTGCAGCTCAACTATGCTATCACCCTTCCGTTCCTTCCTCGCCTAACCTCCTTGCCTCCTCCCTCGGCTCTCTGCGCCTCTGGCAGGGCGCGCAGAGTGGTGCGTCTGGCCGCGGCCTGGGTCGGGGGCGGGCGTTGGGGGGGGGTGGAGGCGGCGGGAAATCAGTGGGTGGCGGGGCGGTGGTTGAGGAGGGGGAGGAGGAGGAGGAGGGGGAGGAGGAGGAGGAGGAGGAGGAGGAGGAGGAGGAGGAAGAGGAGGAGGAGGAGAAGGAGAAGGAGGAGGAGGGGGGAGGAGGAGGAGGAGGAGGAGGAGGAGGAGGAGGAGGAGGAGGAGGAGGAGGAGGAGGAGGAGGAGGAGTAGGAGGAGGAGGAGGAGGAGGAGGAGGAGGAGAGGAGGAGCGAGGAGGGCGAGTGCGAAGAAAACGGCAGGAACACCACGAAGGACGACATCCCACAGGGGGGCTTGGCCTATGTTTCTGGCGCGGCACAAGCGGCACGTGGGCGCAGGCAGGGCTGACGGGATGCCCGGATTTGTTTCCCAGGAGGTAATCGTGATTTTCTCGCGTTGGAATGGGAGCGTCTGCTAGGCTACCCACCTCCCCTCCCTCCTCCTCCCTCCTCCCTCCTCCCTCCTCCTCCTCCTCCTCCTCCTCCTCCTCCTCCTCCTCCTCCTCCTCCTCCTCCTCCTCCTCCTCCTGCTCGCTGCCGCCGCCGGCCCCGAGGAAAGCGAGAGTCGGCGGACAGCCTTGCGACGTGGGTCTTCGCGGGCATCAGAGGTTCACTTGAGGCCATTTCGGTCCGTCCAAGGCGTGGTTTCAACCATTGCAGCTCCTGTCCCGTTGGCGGACACCTCCGTGGACGTGGTGTCTAGGGGGCATGCAGGGCACGGGGTGCCACTTCGCATCGTGTTGACGCACATTGATGTGGCGTGAGACACGGTCCGAAATTAAATGCTCCTCTTGGGCACTTTGGTGTCCAATCTTGAACGCATGGTCAAGGCTTGCCCATACATGCGAACCTAAGGGAGAAGGGGTCTGTCAGTCCGGGCTGCGGGCCCTGCTCCTGCAGAGCTGCGCGGTTCCAGCGATGTTTCGGTGGCGAGCAACATCCAGACCAAATCGCTGGGGTTTGCAGTGTTTTGCACCAAGCTCGCCCCGTATGGCCTACTTCCGGAGGCTCACATGCTGTGCGGTATGGCTGCCCCTATTTTTCTCGAAGGGAATGTGGTTATCGTGGATGACTTGGAGCACGCTTGCAGAATGCAGGAATCCCTTGGTGAGGATTTTTCTGCGTGTCAAAATCGTCAGCTCCGCATCTTCAAGGCGCATTGTGCAGGCTTGGGGGAACTACGTGATTTCTTCGCGAAGCTCCGGACTTGTGCCGCCGTGCGCACAGCCCCTGGTATCCGTCCAGATGTGCTGGGTACCCCTGCGCGGTCTATTGCGTGGCCCGACGTGGGATTGGGTTGGTTGGGCGCCGTGGGAGTGGGGGTTTTGGTGATATTCCAAAAGCCGGGCTGTTCAGAGATCTCAAGGAACTCAGTGTCCCTCCTGACGGCGCAGGGGAGGAGGCTTACCGCAATTTCCAGGAAACTTGTGGAGATTACATCGACAAGTTGATGTCCCTGCCCAAGCCCACGTCGCAGCAAACCCGGGTGGTTTGGGACAAAATCGCTGAGGAACAGTATCTCGGATTTTGCACTCCATGGCGACCCAGGCAACACATGGGCGCTAAGTTCGGCCGCGGCGGATGGAGGCCGCTTGTCCGGTTTGCTGTGTGGGAGCCTGGCACAGACTCTTGGAAGGTCATTGACAACGGCCGCAACGCAGGCCACAATGATGTCCATATTGTCCAGGAACTTATTCACACCGCCTGTGCTGCAGTAAGCTATGCAATTGCCCACCGCCTGGTTGCTGCATTTCCTGGCCGCAGGCTCCGTAGGAGCACCCGCGTCATGACAAACGCGTTTCGTCAAATCCCCCTCGCAGTGCCGCGCTCGGTACCGCATCGTGGCTGTTTGGTCGAGGTCTCAGGTCTGCTGGGTCTTCGCTGAGGTGGAGGGTCTTGCCTTTAGGATGTGGGTGGCCGTGAACCAGTTCAACCGCGTGCCCCTCCACTTTTTGCTGTAGCGCGACGATGGCTAGCCATTCCAGTGGTCATAAAAATCACAGATGTCGAATGGATTTCGGAGTTTTCGTTCCGGTCTTTGGTATCGGCAATGAATCCAACCCGCCCTTACAAAGGGCTATTCCTGGGGCGGTAAGAACATTACACGCAGATTCTGAATTCAGGAGTTTCACGGTGGCTCCGACGTCTGCGTTTCTTGCAGGCGTGGTCGGCCTCGTGGGCACTGTCTTGGGTGAAGACTTCCTCAGTGCACAGTCCGCGGCAAACTGATGCGTCTGGCCCACGCCTACGAGGGTCGTGTCGGGAGGGGCCAGATGGCTGTGTTTGAGGAAGCGATCCACGGACGTGCCGATTGGGGCCGGGTGAAAGGAGGGTTGAAATTTCATTTGGCGCGTGCCCAGCTGCAGCGCTGACGAGTCATCAATCTGTTCCCTGCGGGGAGGGCGCGATTCACAGTGTACACGGACCCATGTTGCGAGGTTCGTCCACAGGCCGTGCGTCCCCAACTATGTTGGTCTGTGCTACATCGTGCTGGATTCGCAAACTGGGGCAAACATGGGCGGTGTTACCGCGTTGTCCGAGAGAGTCTTGGATAGTTTCGACGTTCGTGACAAGTCTACCGTCTTGGGGGTGGCGTTTGCCCCGCTGCCCCGATTCCACCCCGAGAAGAGCATATTGGCCGGATCTTCCGTCATTGTTTTCGTGTACAACTTGCTTCTATTGGCTGCCATGTGCAAGAGCTCCAGCAACGTCGTAAACTTTTGGGGCCTCGTGTGCGCGATCCACTTGTTCACGACGTCACTCTGGCTGTTGGCGTGGTGGAAACACGTAGACAGTGCCGCAAATATTGCGAACGGCGGGGGTTGCTGCGGTACTGGTGGCCCTGTGGCCTGTCGTTTCGGGATCCGTTTCAGGGCATTCGAGTTGCCACCTTGGCCGGCCAATCTGCACCACGTTCTGGCTGAGATAATTTGTTGGGGCATTTGGTGTCGGGGTCCGGTGGATCAGCCGTGAGGTGCTGGGAGTGGGTTCGATGGGGAGTTGGATACGCGTCGGCCCATGCAGGAGAAAAGGGGGGCCTCTCTCATGTACGCCAGTCTCGGCGCCAGGATATTGCCCACAGGGTAATCCGAGGGCGGCCTATTTCATCTTCCCTCTCACTCCTGTTCCCCCTTTCACTCCTTCTCACTCCTGTTCCCCCTCTTCTGTCTCACTTTTGTTCCTTCTCACTCCTTCCCTCCTCTCACTTCTCGTCTCACTCCTTCCCACTCCTGTTCCTATTCCATCTTCCCTCTCGCTCCTGTTCCCCCTCTCTTCCTCGGACCCTGGGGTGGTGGGGCAGTTTCGTAATCTGTAGCAGGTGGCAGGTCAGTGGCGGCGCTGGGCGCGTGCGCCCCTCTACTGCGGGGGCCGCGCTCTGGCTGGGGGCTGCGGCGTCCCCTGCCGGCGGGGGGAGTTGGATACCCTTCGGCCCATGCAGGAGACAGGGGGGCTCCTTGCGTGCATGCCAGTTTCGGCACCGGGATACCCCCCCCACAGGGTAATCCGATGGTGGTCTGACTCCATCTCCCCTCAATTCCTCCCCCCTTCCTCCTCGGACCCTGGGGCGGGGGGCATTTTCATGATCGTCGTCGTCTTCCTCCTCCTCCTCCTCCTTCCTTCCTCCTCCTCCTTCCTCCTCCTCCTCCTCCCTCCTTCTTCTTCTTCTCCTCCTCCTCCTCCTCCTCCTTCCTCTCTTATCACCTCTTCTCCTCCTGCTCCTCCTTTTTCTCCCCCTCCCGCAGCAACTCGCCCATGCAGGCGGCCGCCCCCCGTTGCGCGAGCGGGCGGCGCGAGGCGGCGGCGAACCTTTGCGCCCCGCGATCGCGCGCCCCCGCCGCTGCCGCCCTCCTCTGCCCCGCCCCTCCTCCCTCCTCCCTGGCAGGCCGTCCGCCCCTCTCCCGCCCCGCTACCTGTTCTCTTGCGGGTGTCCCCAGAGACCCTGGCATGGCGGGTGGCGACATGGGTGCGTCGTCCCCACGCAGGCATCGGAGAGCTCGGCCCGCCGCCCACGCCTGCGCGGCATCCTCGTGTCTACGGTCAGAGCCGTTTGCTTAGCGTGTCGCTCCGCCGGTTCTGGCCCGCCACTCCTCGGCGCGACGCGCTCACCACGTCCCGGTCCCCAGGCGTCAACGTCACGAGTCCTTCCCAGTCTCCGGCCCGGCAGAGCGGAGCGACACGCTAGCCGCTCGCATGGCATGACGTGTCGCCGAGGCCGCCGCCACGACACGCAAATGTTTCGGCCAAAGGTAAGAGTGACCTTTCGCCTGATTGACCTTCGGTGCGGGCACCCTGGAGTCCCCAGATGACTGGACGCGATGCGATCGAAGCATCTTGCGCTCCCAGGTTTGGCCTCCCCACGGCCCCCGAAAGTCGCGCACCAAAGGCCACTCGTGCCTGGGGTCACGCCGAACGTGTCCGCCCGAATCCGCGCGTCGTCTTTCGTCAGAGTTGGCTCCGGCTGCTGCCGCTCCTGCGCGTCGTCATCCCCGCTGGGCTAAGGAGGTGGAGCGGCTGAGCGCGGAGAGCGCGCAACACCACTCCCAGCTGCAGGCGGCGTCCCTTCCTGGCCAACGGGGTAGGACGAGGGGGAAGGGAAACGAGGAAGAGGAGGCGGGGTTCTGGAGCTCTCGATCCCTTCTCCGCAGGCGCACTCCGTGCGTGGTTGAAGAGGTCTGGGAAAGCGAGTGGGGAAGCGAGGGGGAGGGGAAGGACGATGGGCGAGGAGGAGGAGGAGGATGAGGAGGGGGAGGAGGAGAAGGAGGAGGAGGAAGAGGAGGAGAAGAAGGAGGAGGAGGAGTACAAGGAGGAGGAGGAGGGGGATGATGATGCTGATGATGATGATAATGTTGCTGCTGCTGATGATGATGCTGATGATGGTGCTGTTGTTGATGATGACGATGATGATGCTGATGCTGCTGCTGTTGATGATTATGATGCTGATGATGATGATACTGATGATGATGCTGATGACGATGCTGATGCTGATGCTGATGATGATGGTGATGCTGCTGATGATGACGGCGATGATAATGATGCTCATGATGTTGATGATGGTGCTGATGCTGATGCTCATGCTGATGCTGATGGTGATGGTGATGATGCTGATGCTGATGCTGATGCTGAGGCTGCTGCTGTTGATGATGATGACGATCATGATAGTGATGATGATAATGCTGCTGCTGATGATGCTGCTGATGATGCTGCTGATGATGGTGGTGGTGATGATGATGATGATGATGGTAATGGTGATGACGAGGAGGATGCTGATGATCGTAATGATGATGATGCTGAGGATGATTATGATGCTGATGCTGATGACGATGCTGATGATGATGATGATGATGATGATGCTGATGATGATGATGATGCTAACGATGGTGTTGACGATGATGATGATGCTGATGCTGATAATGTTGACGATGCTGTTGATGATGATGACGGTGATGACGATGCTGATGATGACGATGCTGATGCGGATGCTGCTGAGGATGATGATGCTGCTGCTGATGATGCTGATGATGATGCTGTGGATGATGATGGCGATGATGATGATGACGATGCTGAGGGTGATGATGATGCTGATGATGCTGATGGTAAATGATCATGATGGCGATGGCGATGGCGATGGCGATGATGATGATGATGATGATGATGATGATGATGATAATGATGATGATGATGATGATGCTGATGACGACGACGATGCTTATGAGTATGATGATGCTGACGCTGATGATGATGCTGATGATGATGTTGATGCTGATGATGTTGATATGATGCTGATGATGCTGATGCCGATGATGATTATGCTGCTGATCCTGATGCTGATGATGATGCTGATGTCGATGCTGCTGATGATGACGCTGATGCTGATGATGATGATGCTGCTGCTGATGATGATGATGATGATGATGATGATAGTGATGATGATGATGATGATGATGATGATGATGATGATGCTCGGCTAGACATTCGACACAGTGTTTTGTTCGCAGCGTGGGCCCCTGGAGGTCTGGATCCCTTCGCCAGGGCCCTTTTTTTCATCCTGGAGGATTTTCCTGGAAAGGGCATGAAGCCCAGGGTTCTCTTTCAGATGGTTTACCCCCGTGTTTGTTTTAACTTGAGGTGGGCCAGCGAATTTCTTTATTGCGATAAGAATCGAGGTCGAGGTGGGCCGGCGAATTAGAATTTGAGGGTGTCCCGTGCGAAACGCTGGTTTTTCAGAATTTGTCGGGGATCTCTCGAGCGAAACGCTTGTTTTGTGTTATAGATGGGCCTTTCCTGGGGACCAGGATTCAGAGGATCTCTGAAGTGAAATGCTTGTTTTCACGTGCCCAGGTCTTGAGGATGTCTCGAGCGAGACGCTTGGTTTCACGCCTCCAGGTTGCCCAGGCAGAGGTCTAGCGACAGGATTTGTTGAGGATGTCTCGAGCGAGACGCTTGGTTTCACGCGTCCTCGTCACCCAGGCGGATGTCTAGCATGAGGATGTGTTGACGAAGTCTCGATCGGGATGCTTGTTTGCACGTGTCCAGGTTGCCCAGGCGGATGCCTAGCATGAGGATGTGTTGAGAATTTCGTGAGAGATACGCTTGTTTTCACGTGTCCAGGTCGCCCAGCGGATGTCTAACATGAAGATGTGTTGAGGATGTCTCGAGCGAGACGTTAGCTTTCACGTGTACAGGTCGCCCAGGCGGATGTCTAGAATGAGGAGGTGTTGAAAACGTCTCGAGCGAAACGCTTGTTTTCACGTGCCCAGGTCACCCATGCGGACGTCTCACACGAAGGTGTGTTGAGGATGCCTCGAGCGAACTACTTGCTTTCACGTGTCCAGTTCGCCCAGGCGGATGTCTAGCATGAGAATGTGTTGAGGATGTGTTGAGCGAAACGCTTGTTTTCACTTGTCCAGGTCGCTCAGGCGGATGTCTAGCATGAGGATTTTGACTGGGTGTCTGGAGCGAAACGCTTGTCCCCAGCACGTTCCGTAGCGCGTCCCCTTGGCACGTCCCGCGGTGCGTCCCCATGGCACGTTCCCTTGGTATGTCCCCCTGTCAATGAGCTCTGGGGCAGCTTTTATGTGCTTAGGCAGCTCGAGCTTAAGATCCATATCAGTTCGGTGAGGACTCGGATGCAAAGGGGGACTCGATTCGCAACGCTATAGAGCACAGTCGCGGCATGGCACATCGCAATTCAGCACGGCGCATCACAGCACAGACTTCGGCACGGTACATCAAGATCGATACATTCAGCATTGCAACCTGGCACGTTCCTTGGCACGTTCCGTGGGGCGTCCCTTGTCGAGTCCCCTTGGCTCGTCGCGTGGCGCGTCCCCTGGCGCATCCCGTGGCACATCCATTGGCACGTTCCGTAGCGCGTCCTTTTGGCACGTCCCGCAGTGCGACCCCATGGCACGTCCCCTGGCACGTCGCCTGGCGCATCCCTTGGGACGTTTCGCGGCGCGTGCTCCTGGCATATCCCCCTGTCAATTAGCTCTGGGGCTGCTACTATGTGTTCAGGCAGCTCGAGCTTAAGATCCATATCAGTTCGGTGAGGACTCGGATGCAAAGGAAGACTCGATCCACAACGCTATAGAGCACAATCGCGGCATGGCACATCGCAATTCAGCACGGTGCAGCGCAGCACAGCCTTTGGCACGGTGCATCAAGATCGATACACTCCGCATTGCATTTGCCCGTCACCCAATCAGGTGTCTTTGAAAACGCTGCCATGCGTTACATTTCTATATTCCTTTCCAGGTTCGTGGGTCGATCATGTTTGTACCATCCTGGAGCCGTGTGAGGGCCCCCCAGTGGCCAACAGTGCAAAACACCTCCTGCTGTGATTTCTGTTACGGCGCGTGCATGTATGGGCAACAGAGTAGCCCGCCGTGCGAAACGGCGGTCGCTCCCAGGGGGGGCCCCCGCTCCCGCTGTTATGCCTCCTCGGGGTTGCAGGCCTGTCGCCCTGCAGGTGTCTAGGCCCCTCGCCCTGCAAGTCTGCGCGGGAGGTCCACCAGGCCGAGATCGACCGCCTGAAGCACGCGCACGAGGAGTGCGCCCGCTTTCGGGCCGAGGCCGGGCGCCGCGAAGGAGAAGGAGGAGGAGGAGGAGGAGGAGGCGGAGGCGAAGGCGGCGGAGGAGAAGGAGGAGGAGGAGAAGGAGGAGGAGGAGGAGGCGGAGGCGAAGGCGCCGGAGGAGGAGGAGGAGGGGGATGAGTGTAAACCCAGGAGTCATCAACGATATTGGAGTACATCCTCCCTCCAAGCTCCCTCTTCATAGGCCCCTACAACGAGCGGCTCATTTCCACTGAGGGAACTGCCTCGTTGGAAGACAACCGTTTGAAGACCCTGAAGCATGCCAAAACATTGTTCTCGGGATTCCACTGCCACGGATCAGTCTGACTGTTGCGTCTTGAGGGCCCTGAATCATGCCAGAATGCCGTTCCTGGGACTGCAACACCGCGAATCAACGTAACTGCTGCACCCTCATAATCTTCAATCCTTTCAAGACGCCATTTCTGTTACGCTGATCATGGGAAGGCGTGAAACTTTTGCAACTGAGGAAAAACGAATGTGCGCAGCTCTCAGGCGAGGGCCACATTTGGACAAGGAGCAGCCTTCAAGTGGTGAAACTCTTGCAGCTTCTTTAAAACCAGAGTGCGCGGCGCTAAGGCGAGAGCCACATTTTGAAAACGATCCACCCTACACATGTGAAGCTCGTTAAACGAATGTGCGCGGCGCTCAGGCGAGAGCCACATTTCGAAAAGGAGCCGCCCTCGATCCGTGAAGCTCTTGCACATTTCGTTAAGCGAGTGTGCGCGGTGCTAAGGCGAGAGCCTCATTTTGAAACCGATCCGCCCTACACATGTGAAGCTCGTTAAACGAATGTGCACGGCGCTCAGGCGAGAGCCACACTTCGAAAAGGAGCCGCCCTCAATCCGTGAAGCTCTTGCAAGGTTTGTTAAACGAATGTGCGCGGCGCTACGGCGAAAGCCACATTTTGGAAAGGAGCCGCCCTCAAGCCGTGAAGCTGATGCAACTTTGTTTAACGAATGTGCGCGGCGCTGAGGCGATAGCCTTATTTAGAAAACGACCCGCCCTACACATGTGAAGCTCTTGCAGCTTTGTTGAGCGAATGTGCGCGGCGCTCAGGAGAGGGCCACATGTTGAAAGGGAGCCGCCCTCAATCCGTGAAGCTCTTGCAGTGCTTGTTAAACGAATGTGCGCGGTGCTAAGGCGAGAGCCACATTTTGAAGACCACCCGCCCTCCACATGTGTAAATCTTGTCAATGTTTTAAACGAATGTGCGCGGTGCTAAGGCGAGAGCCTCATTTTGAAAACCACCCGCCATCCATCTTTGAAGTTGTTATCACGTTTCAAGTTTCAGGGTCCTAAATGGTGAGGAAGTCTCAGACATAGCGCCCAACCCGCCCGAACAACTGGCTTAGGGGTGCGACAGGGAGAAGTTATTGCAAGGAAAGGGAATGGAGGAGGAGGAGGATGAGGAGGAATAGGAGGACAGTACGCTCCAGCTCAATGATTTAAGTTTGCCCAGTGAAAAGGAGGAGAAAGAGGAGAAGGAGGACAAGGAGGACAAGGAGGTGGAGGAGGAGGAGGAGGAGGAGAACGAGGAGCAGGAGCGGGAGGATGAGGATGAGACGGCGGGGGAGGCGGAGCAGGAGGAGGAGGAGGAGGAGGAGGAGCAGGAGCAGGAGGAGGAGGAGGAGGAGGAGGAGGAGGAGGAGGAGGAGGTTGAATAACAACAATAGCAAAGGCCTACACATAAGTTTCGGAGGTCCGCGCGGATCACTTGGATCGGCGCTCGGGCCCCCTTGGCGGCGGCTCCGGAGCTTACCTTGGAGCGCTCCGCGGAGAGGGAGCTTCAGCGCCTGTGCAAGCGGACCTCCGAAAGTTTATGTGTTTTTGCCGCTTTTTCCTATCCCATCGAGGAGAGGTCTTAGTCGCGTGTCCTTTGTCGTCTCCGCCGTGCTGTCGTTCTCTTCGTTGCCTCCTCCCGCCGAGGCTTGTTATGATAACCCAGGGTTCTTTTCGCCCCCCCCCTCCCCCCTTCGGTGAGGGCCCGAGAGGGGGGATCGCCGAGGGCATCGTGGCACCGCCAGACGGTGTCCACATCGCACAGGTCGCACAGAAGGAGGAGGAGGAGGAGGAGGAGGAGGAGGAGGAGGAGGAGGAGGAGGAGGAGGAGGAGGAGGAATGCTACGGTCTCAGTCGATCCAAGTTTGCCTAACGTCAAAAAGGAGGAGAAGGAGGTGGAGGATTGCATTGGTCACGTCTGTGGTGCAAGTCAGGTGCTAGCAGGCGGCAAGCATCAAACCAGAAACATCCACTGGCTGCCACTGGCGGCCGGGTAAACGTCACCAGATCAGCTGGCGGTTGGCACCTCAACCCAGCAGCTGGGAGACAGGGATGAGCTCTTCAAGGACAACCTTATTGCCCTTAGCGTGTGAGGGATGCTTACCCTCCCGCACTCGCTTTAGATTAGACTTGAGGTGGTCACTGCTGCCCCCCCAAGGCCTTCTTCTGTAAGCTTGTTAAGCCGTCCTGATTCGGTCATGCATCCACAAGCCATGCAGATGAAGATCACCCCCATCCAGGGTACTTTTTGAGTCAGGTGCATGTGTTGGGAGCGCGGGTTCGCAAGTAGAGCAGGGAGCTCGGAGGGAGCCTGCCCAGGGTCCTGCAGGCTGCGCCCCAGGCAGACTCGACAGGCCCACCTGGACTGCCTCCGCACCCAACTGTGGCTTCCCACCGTGAGACCAGCGGGCACAGCAGGGTCGATATCAGGAGGAGGGGCAGGGGGAGCGGCACGTGGAAGGGCAGGGGCGGGGGGCGAAGTGGAGGGCCTTGCAACCGCGCCCAAGACCTCGTGGCCAGCTGCTGCACCAGCACGCGCTCTTCTCGGAGCCCCCCCCCCTGGCCAATCCCTTCTTCGGCCGAGGGAGGGCCAGGGAGCTCCAATGTAGCAGCGCCTTATATTCGAATTAAACGTTCTGGGCAAAAGCATCACACTCACGAGAATACTCGTCAAGCTCAGCAGCCCAAGGGCGCGAGTGCAAACACGCCATCGATTTGGCAAATCAATCGCCCCAGTAGTTTCTATTAGCCTGGTACCACTCCTCGCTATGGGCAGTGAGGCTGTCCAGACTTACGTGGGCTTTCACTGTAGAAACTCGTAGCTGCTCACACGGCTTGGGTAAGATACGAATCCCAAGAAGCTTCGCTCCGGCATCGTAGGACCTTCGATCAAAGACAGCCTCAGGAGCCGTCTCTGTAGTACCCACAGGACCGTCGTAATCGGTGCAGAACTCGCTGGCAGAAGGTGCATGCCTACACGAAGCCAGGAAGCCTATATGTTCAGCGGCCAGGCTGGTCTGCGGAAGGAGCCGACCTGCTTCACCAGAGATCGAAACATGCACTTCGTCATGACCCGTGATACAGACACAAGCCCAACCAGCACAGTGGTTTACCCGATGCCAGAAGGAGGAGGAGGAGGAGGAGGAGGAGGAGGAGAAGGAGGAGGAGGAGGAGGGTCCGCGTGGCCCGCCGCCCTCCGCCTCGGCGGCGCGGCCGAGAGCGTGGGACACCACGAGGCTGTTCAGTGTCTTGCCCCCCCCCCCACCGGGGGGAAGTCGTTCGAGCAGCCCCGGGAGCGCCCGGGAGCGCCGTGACAGCCGCGCGAGATCTTCGGCTCGGCGTGTCGCTCAGCGCCAGCCCTGGCGCACCCTCGGCTTCGGCGCCACGCGCTTTGACCACGCCGGGCCCCCAGGCGTCGTCGTCCCGATCCTCTCCAGGCCTCCCGCCCCGCAGGGCGGAGGGACACGCTGCCCGCCGCAGGCCATGGCGTGTCGCCAGGGCCGCCGCCGCCGCGACGCGCCATGCGCAAGTTCCTGACCGCACAGAGGGCGCGAAGTTCTATACCTGAAGACATTCCACTCAGTGCCTGCGACACGGAGGAAGTCATTCCGGCCACGCTCGCAGGGCAACTCTTCTATGTGGCTGGACGCTTCAATTCCATTCGCGTGCACGGCGGGGATTGAGGTAGCTTAGTGGTTTCACGATTGCGTCGGCGAGCTTGTTATCGTTTCGATTCCGCTCCCCTTCCTCCCCTTCAGGATGAGCTGGGAGAGCAGACTTCATCCCACGTAAGCGCGCTGAACCTGTTACCCACCAGAGGCATGCCTGCATTCACAAGTTTCGGTGGCGGATGGGGCAACATATGCGCAACAGTGGTGAAATAAGCCATGGCGAAAGCTGGGTCCATCTGGGCGACGCTGGACGGTGACGATGATGCTGTTGATGATGATGAGGTAGATGACGACGGAAATGATGATGACGAACACGATGATGTTGGTTATGATGGTGACGACGAGGAGGAGAAGGAGGCGGATTCGGGGGTAGAGAGCGCCATACATGAGGCTTCGGCGAAGGAGGAGGGACCTGAGGAGGAGGAGGAGGTGGAGAAGGAGAAGGAGAAGGAGGAGCGAGGAGCGAGGAGGGAGGAGCAAGGGGAGAGGGGCGAGAAACGAGGAACGCAGAGCGAGAAGCGAGGAGCGAGGAGCGCGGAGCGAGGAGCAAGGAGGAGGCGGAGGTCGAGGCGAAGGAGGAAAATGAGGAGCGAGGAGGAGGAGGAGGATGAGGAGGAGGAGGAGGAGGAGGACGACGAAGAGGAGGAGGGAGAGGAGGAGGAGGCGGAGAAGGATTAGGAGGAAGAGCAGGAGGATGAGGAGGTGGAGGACAAGGGCGAGGACGAGGGCGAGGACGGGGATGATGATGATGCTGCTGCTGCTGCTGCTGATGATGATGATGATGATGATGATGATGATGCGATGATGCTGATACTGATGCTGATGCTGATGATGATACTGATGAGGTTTAGGATGCTGGCAACGCTGTTGATGATGATGTTGCTGAGGATGCTGCTGCTGCTGATGATGACGATGCTGACGCGGCTGATGATGCTGATGATGCCGACGAAACTGATGCTGACGATGACGATGATGATACTGATGCTGCTGCTGATGATGATGCTTACGACGACGATGATGATGCTGATGGTGATGCTGATGGTGGTGGTGGTGATGATGATGATGATGATGATGATGAGGATGATGTTGATGCTGATGAGGATACTGCTGATGCTGATGATGACGATGCTGATGATTCTGATGAAGATGATGATGCTGTCGCTGGTGTTGGTATTGCTGATGATTATGATGTCGGTGATGCCAATCAGGATGATTATGCTGATGCTGATGCTGATGATGATGCTGATGCTGACGATGATGATGATGATGATGATGATGATGATGATGATGATGATGATGATGATGATGATGATGATGATGATGATGATGATGATGATGATGATGATGATGATGATGATGATGATGATGATGATGATGATGATGATGATGATGCTGATGATGATGCTGCTGCTGATGATGATTATGCTGCTGCTGCTGATGATGATGCTGATGATGATGAGGAGGAGGAGGAGGAGGAGGAGGAGGAGGAGGAGGAGGAGGAGCAGGAGCAGAAGGAGGACAAGCACTACTATTAGTAGTAGTACCAATGCAACTGCAGTATACAAATAATTATCATAAGAAGAATAATGCGAAGAAGAGGAGGGGGATAAGGAGGAGGAGGATGATGAGGAGGCAGAGGATGGAGCGATGAGCGAGGAGCGAGGAGCGAGGATCGACTGACTGGCGAGGGGCGAGAACCGAGGGGCGAGGAGCGAGCAGCGAGGTGCGAGGAGACGGAGCGAGAGGGAAGGATGAGGCGGAGGAGTCCCCCCCCCCCTGCGGCAGATCCGCGAGCAGCTCGAGCGCCAGCGGTCCGAGATGGAGCAGCGCCTGGGGTCGCAGGAAGTCGCCCCTGCTCCTCGTGCCCTTCCTGGCTGCGGGCATCCGAGGGGGGAGGATGGGAAAGGATGGGGCGGGGAAGCAGGACGAGGAGGAAATTCGGGAGGAGGGGGAGGGGACGTTCCGCGGGTCGGGCATTTCTGCGCTGCCCGCCCGCGATGCTTAGAGCCCGCGCCGCGCGGCCCGGCCGGGCTGGCGGCCCAGACGGGCCTCCTGCAGGGCGGCAGGGGAAACGGACACATTGAGGAGGGGGAGGCGGATGAGAAAGGGCGGGGAGGAGGGATGGCGGGGGGAGAGGCCTCGGAGGAGGAGGGGAGGGGGAGTGGGAGGATGAGGGACGGAGGACGGAAATAGATGGGAGGGAGGGTGGGTGAGTGGGTGGGTGAGGGGGGTGGCGGGAGGGAGGGATGGACGGATGCGTGGAGATGATGACGCTGATTTTGCTGATGCTGATGATGCTGTTGCTGATGCTGGTGCTGATGGTGGCGGTGATGCTGCTGCTGGTGATGATGGTGGTGATGGTGGTGATGATGATGATGATCACGACGGTGATGGTGTTGGTGCTGATGGTGATGATGATGATGACGATGCGGATTATTATGATGATGATGACGATGAGGCCGATGATGCTGCTGATGGTGATACGGCGATGGTGACGATGACGATGACGATGACCATGACGATGGCGATGCTGATGCTCTTGACGATGGTGATGATGATGCTGCTGCTGCTGCTGCTGTTGTAAATGATGATGGTGCTGATGATGCTGATGATGATAGTTATGATGCTGATGACGATGCTGCTGATGCTGATGCTGATGATTATGATGCGGCTGATGCTGCTGATAAACGGTTATGCTGGTGCCTATGCTGCTGATGCTGGTGATGATGTTGGTGATGCTGGCGATACAAGTTCTGAGGATGCTGTTGTTTGTGATGGTGACTGTGCTGAATATGCTACCGATGTTGTTGATGATGAAGATGCTGGCGACGACCAGACTGATGCTGCTCATGATGATGATAGTAGTGGACGCGCTGATGATGTGTATGGTGATATTGTTTTGGAGGATGATGCTGCTGCTGATGATGACGCTGTTGCTGCTATTGTTTTGGTGGTGGTGTGTTGTTGTTGTTGTTGCTGCTGCTGCTGCTGTTGTTGTTGTTGTTGTTGTTGTTGTTGTTGTTGTTGTTGTTGTTGTTGTTGAACTCTCATTCTTGAAGAATAATTATTGTTGATCCCCCCCACCGGTGCACATTGATTTTTTTCGATTGAAGTGCCACCCCCGGGGCTCGCACCTTGTTTTTTCTCAAGGAAAGTCTTCCTGCTCAAACTGTGCCCCTGCCCCCCGGGCTACAACAACAACGGCTCCCGCCTGAGACTTCCTCGATTTTTACTCAGGACCCCCGCTCCCGCCTGAGACTTCCGCGCAATTTACTCAGGAAAGGCGCTCCCGTCTGAGACTTCCTCGCAATGTAATCAAGACCCCCGCTCCCGCCTGAGACTTCCGTGCAATTTACGTGGGAACGGCGCTCCCGCCTGAGACTTCTTCGAATTTTACTCAGGACCCCCGCTCCTGCCTGACATTTCCGCGCAATTGACTCAGGAACGGCGCTCCCGCCTGAGACTTCCTCGCAATTTAGTGAGGACCCCCGCTCCCGCCTGAGACTTCCGTGCAATTTGCTCAGGAACGGCGCTCCCGCTTGAGACTTCCTCGCAACTTAGTCAGGGCCCCCGCTTCCGCCTGAGATTTCCTCACAATGTACTCAGGACTGCGCTCTCGCGTGCGACGTCCTCACAAATTATTCTGGAATTGCGTTTCGGCGCTCAGGAACCACGCACGCGCCAAGGACGCCTTCACAACGTGGTATCTTCCCTCTTCCTTCGTCCTTCCCCCTCCCCTTCCTCCCACTCTCCCTCGTTCTTCCCCTCCTCCTCTTGCAGGGCCCGCGCCAATTCCAATGGCGGGCAGAGAGATGTACGCCCCCGAAGGATTGTCCGCCCGTTCCGGTTTGCCCGTACGTCTAAGCCCGCCGGCCCCAGCAAAGAGAAATAATCCCCCCGAAAGGGGTGTGATCGAAGACGAAGAGGGCGGGTATCGAGGGTGTAGGGTATACGTGTTGAATGACTCGCGGGCAAGTAAGAGCGTACAGCCTTAAAGTGGTTGTTGTTGTTGTTGTTGTTGTTGTTGTTGTTGTTGTTGTTGTTACTGCTGTTGCTGCTGCTGTTGTTATTATTGTTATTGCTGCTGTTGTTGGTGTTGTTGGTGCTGTTGTTGCTCGTGTTGTCTGTTGTTGCTGTCGTGGTTGTTGGTGTCGATGTTGTCTTTGCTGTTGTTGTTGTTGCTGTTGTGGTTGTTGCTGTCGTTGTTGATGCCGTTGTTGTTGCTGTTGTTGTTGGTGGTGTTGTGACTGTACCGGTAGTGATACTGATAATGAGTGTGTTTCTGGTGGTGATGATGGCGATGCTGATCGCGATGATGAAATATCTGGTAATGATGCTGCTGATGATGAGGATGCTGATGATGGTGCTGCTTCTATAGTTGCTGCTGATGAGGATGACGATGATGGTGGTGGTGATGATGAGGATGTGGTTTGTGATGAACATGCGAATGATAATGGATATGAGGAGGAAGGGAGGGAAGGAGGGAGGGAGGAGGATGAGGAGGATGAGGACGAGGACGAGGATGAGGATGAGGAGGAGGATGAGAAGGAGGAGGAGGAGGAAGAGGAGGATGGGGGGAGGAGGAGGAGGAGGAGGAGGAGGAGGAGGAGGAGGAGGAGGAGGAGGAGGAGGGGGACAATGAGGAGGAGAAGGGAAGAGGGACATAATACGAGGGAAGAGGGAGGAAGAAGTGGAGGAAAGCGGAGGAGACATATTAGAAGGGGGCTGCGACACGTGACGATGCGGATGTTGAGGTTGATGCTGACGATGGTGATGGTTAGGAGGATCATGGTGATGCTGATCGTGCTTATGATGATGACGAGGCTGCCGCCGGTGATGGGGGTGCCGTGAAGTAGAATGATGAGCAGTACGATAGGGGACATCGGGTGAGGAGGAACACTGGAACGTGGAGGGGATGTGGGTACGTAGGCTGTGACTGTCGCTTCTGCTGCCCTCCTCCTCCCCCTCCTTGTCGTCGGCGGGCGCTGGCCCCCCCGCTCATCCCGCCAGTCCGTGGTGCTCGTGCGCTTCTCGTGCCTGGCCCGCTTTCATTCTTGCGCGACCCGCGCGCCTGGCGCTCGCCCGGCCTGACGCGGCCCTGCTCTCTCTTCCCTCCGGGCCCCTCCCCTCCTGGCTGCCCGTCGGTGCTCTCGTGGCTCCTGCGCTTTCCGGTCCTGCGCCGCCCATCTTTGCTGCTTAGATTAGGGCGACGAGATCTATACATATCCACTGCTCCTGGCCAGGCCCATCCTGGGCCCAGGAGCTGTGTATATGCCTCCCTGGCCAGGCCAGGAGGGCGTATACACCGCTCCTGGGCCCAGGATTGGCCTGGCCAGGAGCAGTGGATATGCATAGATCTCGTCGCCCTATAGATGTCCCCCTCGGACTGTGCCGAGGTTGTCAGCTCTGCACGCGCTGCCACACTTGACGAGGTGGTGCATCTGCCTAGCGTGCATTCTGTGGATCCCGCCTCCGCTTTCGCTACACGCTGGCCACCATCATCAGCACGTCAGTGGCGTGTGTATCCGTAGCCTTTGGTTTAAGCCTGGCTCAAGGCCGTGTTCGGGACTCAACCTTCGAGCTCAAGGCCTTGCCTTGCCAGGCCCTGGCATCCCGGGGCCACTCAGGTGACTTCCAAGTTAGGGGTGACCCATCGTTCTCTTTTCTCGACCCTCGCAGCTGCTGGCACTGCATCCACATTCCGCCAGTCTGTTAAGCTATGCGTGTCCGCGCTTCAGTTTGCAGTTGGAGCTGCCTCTGCCATGGGAGGGCCCCATGGCGATGTCGCACATGCACCAACATAGAGGGCATCAGCACCGCCGAGCCGATCGTCTATATCTCCAGCTGCCCCGGCCTGCGCCGCTCCGAGGGCATCAACACCGCCGCGCCGATCGCTTACGTCTCCAGCTGCCCCAGCCAGTGCCGCTACCGTGATCACGAACACCGCCGAGCCGATCGTCCACGACTCCATCTGCCCCGTCCAGTGCTGGTTCGAGGACACGCTGTGCCAGTACGGCAACGTTGGCTGCGATGAGCGGGTGGAGGGCATCAGGACCAACGAGCCCACCGTCTACGTCTCCAGCCGCCCTGGTCAGTGCTGCCGAGGGCATCAGCACCGACGCGGCGATCGTCTACGTCGTCTGCTGTCTCGGCCAGTGCCGCCTTGCGGGCATCGACATCGCCGAGCCGATCGTTTATGTCTCCAGCTGCCCTGGCCTGTGCTTGCGTGGGAATCAACACCGTTGTACCCATCGTCTTCGACTCCAGCTGCCCTGGTAAGTGTTGCTTCGATGACATCAACGCCGCCGCGGCGATCGTCTACGTCTCCAGCTGTCCCAGCCTGCGCCGCTCCGAGGGCATCAGCACCGCCGCGCCGATCGTCCACGTCTCCAGCTGCCCCAGCCAGTGCCGCTAAGGTGAGTACGAACACCGCCGAGCCGATCATCTACGACTCCAGCCGCCCAGGCCAGTTCTGCTTCTAGGGCACCAACACCGACGAGCGAGCCGTGTACGACTCCAGCTGCCCCAGCCAGTGCTGCTTCGAGGACGCGCCGTGCCAGTATTGCGACGTAGGCTGCCAGGCTGCCACGGCCTCGGCGCGTGCGCAGCGTCGGCGTCGACGCCTGCGCGCCTGGGGCGAGGCATCAACACCGTGGAGCCGATCGCCTACGTCTCCAGGTGCCCCGGCCCGTGATACATCGCGGGCATCAGCGCTTCCGTGCCAATCGTTACGACTCGGCCTAGATGCACGGTGCAGGGGACACGGAGAGCGCGCTCTTCCCGTTCCTCTTTAGCTGAGCGTCAACACAGGCCGCATCTGGATCTACGTCAACAGCCTTGGCCACTACCACTCCGGAGGAGGCGTGCGTCCAGATCGCCCAGTTCGTGGGAAGGATGCTGCAGGTGTGTGTGTGTGTGTGTGGTCTGCTACGTCGGTATCGCCCGCTACTTGTTTTCAGCGCGTGAACCGCGCTGTCGGCGTCTGCCCGCTCGGGTCACCTGGCCTGTCCAGGTACCCCACCAATCGGCTGGTCTGGCAGCCTTACACTTCAGCATCATTGTCTACATCGATCGCTCGATGAGTCAGTGGCAATTAGCACGAGACTGCTCGCGCTTCAGTTAATGTTGAGTCGAACTCGCCTTGGCGTGCTCCTCGGTTTCTGGTCGCTGCACGCTCGTTAGGTTGCAGTCCCTCCTACCCTCCTACACACCACCCATCTCTGCACGTCAGTGACTTACGCTTCTTTCACTGCGCTTTCGAAGTTGCTCGATCGCAATTCGCACCTCTATCTGCTGCTCGCGCTCGAGGACACTCTGTGCCGCCGACTCAAAGTGTGTGTGTGTGTGTGTGTGTGTGCGTGTGCGTTCTCGACACTTTCAGTTGTGGTGAGTGAGGTCTCATTGCTTGATCCCGTGTTGATTGCAGATTCGTGGTTCGAACCTTTGCACCTCACGCATGCGAACGTAATTTTGGCCTTTCCTGTGTGCAGTTGTCAGGTCATGGGCTGCTCCCTTATACGGTGATCCAACCTCGCGGGTATCGGTGCCGCGTGCTCGGTTGTGCGTGTGTAATTAGCAGTGACGGAGCCCGTCGTTGGTTCTATCGCGACTGTGGTGTCACATCGCCAGCGGAGGTACAGTGTGCCAGTGTGTGTGCGTGTGTGAGAGAGAGAGTGTGTGTGTGTGTGTGTGTGTCTGTGTGTGTGTGTGTGTGTGTCTGTCTGTCTGTCTGTCTGTCTGTCTGTCTGTCTGTCTGTCTGTCTGTCTGTCTGTCTGTCTGTCTGTCTGTCTGTCTGTCTGTCTGTTTGTCGGCCTGCCTGTCTGTCTGTCTGTCTGCCTGCTTGCCTGTCTGCCTGTCTGTCTGTCTGTATGTCTGTCTGTGTGCGGTGTTTGGGCGACACCGCCTCTGCCCTTGCCCCTGTCTTTGCCGTATCCTCTGGCTTTTGACCCGTGCCCCTTGCCGATGTCCCTTCCCAGACATGCGATGCCCTGATGTTGTTCGGCCAGCGTTTCATCCTGGGTCGTTTATTGATTGACGGTATTCGGGCCCGCTGCGGTCCCCGAGGGGCCGAAACGGTCAGAACTCTTTCATCGCGATTTTGTCACGACGCGAGCATGTCTGGGTCGTCTTCTGACCTTCTCCTCTGCCCTGCCGCAGCTGCCGCGCTCTTGTCGGGGTTCCGCTGCTGCCCCGGACCTCCGAGGTCTGCGTCTCTCGCTCGTCCCCTGCCCTGCCCCGCAGCTCCGGGAGCTGGAGAACCGCCTGGAGTCGCAGGCGAGCCGCGTCGCGCTGCGGTCTGGCCTGCGGCAACTTGGCCGTCACGGGAGGAGCGGGGGGAGGGGGGGAGGCTCCAGACGTGCTCGCGTCGTGCACAAAATGCACGACGGGAGGTCTCTGGCTGTTTTCGGCCTCCAGGGGCCTCCGGGGGACCGTCAGGAAACGACTCGGGATGAAAACCGGCCTTGCGGAATAGGTCGGGGTTGCCAGGGACCCCGTGTTGAACGTAATCAGGACATCGCATGGCTGGGACATGGGAGGGACTCATGCGGTGTCGGGGGACGTTAGCTGACCATCTCGCCGATCGTGATCTTGCCCATCCTTGGCCCGGGATCGGTGTGTACGCTCTCCTGGCCTGACGAAGGGGGCAAACACATGTCGCGTGGGCCAGGATGGGCCCGTCCAGGATCGGTGAGGTGGTCCGTTGACGTCCTCCCATGGTGGTGGCTGATTTTTTTCCAGGTCTGCCACGGATGCTCTGTCATCAGTGCGTCTTCAACCACCATTTGCTCCAGGGCAACACGTGGTGGTGGGACAGGCGGGGTGGCCCTGGCGGGACGGGGGTATGGGGGGTCAGGGCAGGGGCGAGGAGGTGGGGGACGGCCCACTTGCCCTGGCGCTTGTGCCTCTTCTCTCGCTCTCTGGCCCTGGGGGGGGGATCTCGTCGACGCGGCAGGGAGCGGCTCGAGCGGAAGCCTGGGGGATGTCCAGGTCGGGAGAAGGGGTGCGTCTCTCGAGGCAGAAGTGGAAGGTGCAGGAGAAGGAGGGAGAGGAGGAGGAGGAGGAGGAGGAGGAGGACGAGGAGGAGGACGAGGAGGAGGAGGAGGAGGAGGAGGAGGAGGAGAGGAGGAGGAGGACGAGGACGATAAGGAGGAGGAGGAGGACGAGGAGGAGGAGGCGGAGGCGGAGGAAGGAGATGATGATGATGATGAAACTGATGATAATGATGATGATGCTGCTGCTGATGCTGATGATAACGATTTTGATGATGATGACGATGCTGCTGCTGCTGCTGATGATGATGATGATGATCCGATGGTGTTGATGGGTATGCTGACGATGATGATGATGATGATGATGATGATGATGATGATGATGATGATGATGCTGATGATGATGATGATGATGATGATGATGATGATACTGAGGGTGATGATACTGCTGATGCTGATGAGGGTGATAACGATTATACTGTTGATGCTGATGATGCTTCTGATGATGCTGCTGATGATGTTGATGATGCCGATGCTGATAGTAATAATGCTGTTGACGATGATGTCGATGATGACGATGATGAGTGTGATGATGCTGGTAATGCTGATGCTGATGATGCTGATGCTGCTGCTGATGATGCTGATGATGATGAGCATGGTGATGATGATGATGATGACCAGGCTTATGGTGATTATGATACTGCTGGTGATGCTGACTATGATTATGTCGATGCTGATGATATTTACACTGATGATGCTGATGCTGATTTTGATGATGCTGCTGATGCTGGTGATTGTGGTGCTGGTGGTGGTGATGCTGTTGATGGTGTTAGTGATGATGATGCTGCTGCTGCTGATGATGATGATGATGATGTTGTCGATGCTGCTGCTGCTGCTCATGATGCTGATGACGATGACGATACTAATGGTGATGATGCTGTTGGTGGTGATGATGATGGTGATGCCGATGGTGATGGTGATGATGAGGATGATGCTGCTGCTGATGGTACTTATAATGCTGACGACGATGATGATCATGAAGCTAATGCTGTTGATGATACTGGTGATGCTGATTATAATGATGAGGATGGTGATGACGATGAGGATGATGAGGGTGATGATGCTGCCCACGATGATGATGATGGCGCTGACGATGCTGATGACGATGATAATGACGATTCCGATGGTGGCTTCGATGATGCTGACGATGAGGGAGCATATGCTTGTGATGGTCACGTCGACGATGGCGACGGCGACGATGGCGATGATGATGCTGATGCTGATGATGATGACGACGTTTCTGATGACTACGATTAGGATGCTGATGATGTTGATGATGATGCTGATGATGATGCTGATGATGATGCTGACATTGACGATGGCGATGATGGTGATGATGCTGATAGTGAGAATGCTGCTGATGATGCTGATAATGATGCTGAGGACGATGATAATGATTATGGTGGTGGTGGTGATGGTGGTGGGGTGTTGGAGGAGGGCCAGGAAAAAGAGCAGGAGGAGGATGAGGAGGGAAGAGGCGGAGGCGGAGGAGGGAAGGACGCAGATGATGAGGATGAGGAGTGGAAACGGAAGAAGGAGGGATGAGGCGGATGAGGGATGAGGCGGAAAAAGAGAAATGTGGGTGGAGCAGGGCTGAGGAGGATAAGGAGGGCGGAGGCGGGTAAGGAGAAGGGAGGAGAGACGCGGTGAAGGAGGGTGGATGAGGAGCAGGCAGCGTGATTCGTGTGGACCAGTGATCGGCCACCGCGCCTGCGCCGCACTGGGAACATACGGCGCCAGCTAGGCAGTTGGGCATTTTCGCTTACCATTCCGCATATGACGAGCTGTGCTCCCGAATGTACTAGGAAGCTGACTGCACATGATGCGGACGGCCTGGGCGCGAGCTGGACACAATTGGCCGCATGTCCTTCCAGCGCTCGGCCCTTCAATGTTCATGCACGACGGCCCTCCGCACTCTCCACATGTGAATCCAGCCATCGGCCTTTCCATCTTCCTGGTGCCACGCGCCTCCGAGTGAGCTGGGCAAGTATGCTGAGCATGCAACCACTCCGCGCGCAGGCAAAGTACGGCGACCAAATGGCATGGACAACCTCAGCACGGTAGACTGAGCTAGTACAATCAGGTGGAGCTGCGCATATCGCACTCGTGGCCTACTGCACTGCGGCACGGAAGTAAGGTCACCATACGTACTGGGTAGTGCAAGCAACAAGGTGAGGTTCGAACCAGTCTCAGAATGCAACGCATGCCTAGCACAATCAGAATACGGCGAACATTGAGACTGCCAGGCCAGCCTCCTAGGTAAGCGCTGGACTATGCCTCAACAAGATCATCTTCGTCTGCGGTAGGGCTGCTTTCCGAGGCCAGGAGGGTGCATTGGTTGTCGGGGATTGACCCGCTAGTTGCGTGCGTCTTTGCGCGCCTCCTCCTTGCACCCCTCCTTGCGCGCCTCCTCCTTGCTAGGAACCACTCATCTCACCTCCGATCACAAGCACTCAGAAGGGGTTTCACTACCGGCAGGAGCATGCTCAGGAAAATCGCCGACATGAGGACGCCTCGCAACGCCAGTCGCTGAGGTCCGACGACCCAGCAACTGTGTACCTCGATTTTTCCGCGGCGTTTCCTTCATTATCGAGTTCTTTCTTGATGGCATCATTACATGCGTCTAGGGCATGTACATGTGCACAGGTGTGATCTTGTGTTGACTGGCCAGAAGTTCGGCTGGATTTCCCTGGAGCGGGGCATCCGCCAGAGATGTCCTCTTTCACCATGAATGTTCGCACTTTCCAGCGACAGCCTCTTGTGGGTCATCCAAACGTCTATCCCCAGCAGCTTGCCCAGGGCCTTCGCTCGCGACACCGCAGTAGTCCTCTTTTCGTGGCAAGCGGAATGGCCGCGACCCTTCGAGATCTTCGCAGAATTTGGGGTGGCTCCATTTCTCGAACTCAACTTCTCTAAAACGGTGGTTGTACCATTGTGGCCAGAACGCCAGGGCAGCGGTCAAGAGGAGGGTGGAAGAGAACGCATCGAGCCCGCGCATCTCTTGGGCCGGTCACGCGAAATACCTGGGCGTCATCATTAGGCCGGGCAGCGGCCAGACAGCTTGGGAGGGTCCGCGACGGAAATTTTGCGCGCCGACTCGACGATTGGTCTTGGTCCGAACTCGGGCTCACGACATTGTTCGCGACGTACAACCCGTACATTTTCCTTGTCATCATGTTCATCGCTTAGTTGGCGCAGCCGCATGCGGAAATAGTAAGATTAGACGCGCTTGCGGTCAGGCGCATCGCACCAGGGCCTGCCATTTGGTTCCAGCCAAGTGACCTCCAACATGGGAAAGACCTGTGCCTCCCCATCCCCCTCTCCGCCCTTTGAAACTTACCTGTCCAGCAGCTGTGGTTCGGACTTGTCGGCACGAAGGTGGCCCAGGTGGCATCGACTGGGAACGGTTCAATCGGAGATGGGAGGAGTGCCGTTCACGCACTGACTTTTTGCCCAGGCTCGTTTACTGGAACAGGTGGTACCCGAAGCACATCCCGACAATTTTCTGCACGGTCAACGCGGTTACAGAACAGGCTGGCTTACGAACACACGCGCCCTGGATGCGATTACTAAGGTCCCAGTGGGCCCTCCCCTCCCTAGTTTGTAACACAAAGCCCTGGAAGGGCATACAGCGCTGGCTGGTCACAGAGGTACTCCCGAAGTCTGATTTCAACGTGGAGCAGGGGCTTCGCCAGCGTCTGGAACGATGGAGCCTACCAGGCATTCGCTGGCGCGTCGCGCGCCGGACAAGCATCAACTTAAAGCGCATGCGCAATCTAGTGACTCTATGCGTAGCTGCGGCGGTGGTCGGCACGTGTTTCAATCGCTGGACTACGGTCCGTCGCATGCGAGGCATCCGCGATGGCTCGCGCAGGTGCCTTCTTGGCTGCGCCGGTACTGGCAAGGACAGCATTGAGCACTATCTTCGGTGCCCCGTGCTGCGTGAGTGGATGAGGCGCCGCTCGCGCAGTGAAACCCTTGCTGGAAGCGATCTTTCTGTATGATTTGTTGTCTCACCCCTCACCGCCCTACGGTTGCGCCAGCTCGCGATCAGTGTGTATGTAGTGTGCTGTGCGTCAATCGTCTGCGTTCCCTCCCCGACCGCCCGACTGAAATCCACGTTTCAAATTTCATGAACCAAGCCCTACATGGAAGCACCAGGGGCCATGCCAAGTTTCAGAGAGCGCTCCAGCTTGCAAACGATTTTGATGGCGGCTCCGCTGGCGCAAACGCGCCCCGTCGCGCTTCGCCAGATTCCGCGGGGTGCCGGGTCAGACGACGTCGGGAGTGACCTCTCCGTGCCCAGGGACACCCCGTACTGCTTCTTCCTGAGGCTTGCGGGTGGTACCGCCCCAGTCTTCCCCCGGTCCGGGGTCTGCCCGTGACACCTGCTCATGCTTCCAACCTTTTGTGTACCACGTACTGTTTCCCTCGCTGCGCTGATTTGAGTCGTGCGCGCCTGTCGACTCCTCCATCTCAACCCGCTCCCCCTCCTTCTCTTCCTCTTCTTTCTCCTCTTTCTCCTCCTCCTCCTCCTCCTCCTCCTCCTCCTCCTCCCTCACCACATGCACGGAAATACCAGGGAAATAATTGTCACGGGTAGCTGTTTTCTAGACCAAGGTTCTCTGCACGAATTTGTTTATTGCAGGTCGGCTTGTGTGGCGTCCCTGCTTTGCTTGGCATCCTTTTGGGTCGCAAATTGGTTATCAATCGCCGAAGCGTCGAGTTTAGTCTTGTTCCCGAGTGTGCAGGACACTTCGATTGGAGCTCGGTCTTCTAGCAGCCGTCAGTCGGCCCGAGCTCTAGGTTGGCAGTCGCGGCGCATTCATAAGCGCTGGCTAGAGCTGTGCACCCCTGGTGAGGAAGAAACGGCTTTCAAACGCATTTTTTTGATCGCTCGTGCCGTACCTCGCCGGCCTCATCCTGATGTCTTTCAACCTAGCCTTCGGCGTATGGTGGCACCTTGTTTTTGATGCCAGTTGTTGTTGCATGTTGTCCGCCCCCGGTTTTTACCCCCAAAAATCATCCTTGCCCCCCCTCCTTCCTCCTTTTCTTTTCTCCCTCTGCTGGACAGACTCCAACGAGCTCAGGCCGCCTGAAACGACCTGCGACAGGCCTTCAGTCTGACCGCGCGGCTCCTCCCGCTATTGTGAGGATGGCCAGGGCGGCATTTACACCCCGCTGGGCCAGGGCAGACAGACTTGTCCGAACTGCTGCGCTCTCCCGGGTCCTTTTCCGTAGCGGCGTGGAGCGTGCCCGTCCGTGGTTGAAATCATGCACAGGACATGGGAACAGGCGTCACTCCTTTGGCGGCGCCTCGATCAAATCTTCACTCGGAGGAGGAAGTGGAGTGGAGGGAGGACTCGTGGCCCAGGCCAGCTTCATAAGCCTCCCCCCTCTCTCCGCGCTCCCCCCTCTCTCTCTCTCCCCAATCCCTCCCCCCTCTCTCCGCGCTCTCCCCCTCCCGCCCTTCCCCCTCCGCCGCCGCCAGCTCGTCGCGCAGCTGCGCGAGGCGCGCGAGGCGGACGCGCGCAGCCACAGTCAGCTCCGGGACGAGATGTCCCGGCTTGCAGCCAAGGCTGCGCGCGAGGACGGGCAAGGGGAGTGCCATGGCCTTCACTTTCTCCTTCTCGTCCATTTCCTTCTGTCGGCATCCCCCCAACATACTTATACTATGTGTTCGTCGCCCCCCCAGGGGCGACGCGCGCACCGAGAAATCTTGTAGTATATGCGTCGTGGCGGGCGCTTTCTGGCCACACCGCTCGAGAAACGATATACTACAAGATGGGTATACTATATGTTCGGGTCGGACGCGCGCCTCCAAGGCGGACATATAGTATTAGTATGTCTCTGTGCGTCCCATTCTGCTATGGCCTACACCTTCTTCCCCTATCCTCCTCGACCCTTCTTCCATCCCTTCTCCTCCTTTTCCCCCCGCCCCTGTCATAGTTTTCCTCCACCTTCCCCCCATCCCCTCTGTCCTTGTCTTCCACTTTCTCCACATCGTCCTCTTTCCGTTGCACACTGTGCGCGAGCGTGGGTGTCCCATCTCCTCGTCGATGCTCTTTGCGGCCGCTCTGGCTCAGACGTTTCGTTTTTTTATCTCACGTGCCCTGGGCAAGTGACTAAGTCAAGGTGCGTGGCGACTTCTTTTCAGGAGCAGGTGTCTCGCTTCTGGTTTCGTGATGCTGTCTCATGGGGATCAAGGGATGGCGACTGGCTCTTAAGTTGTGGCGACGTCTGTACATCCGCTCGCATGTATGTCATCAAAGTAGCGCTATTGAGACTGAGAAGGCGGTCGTGTTTTCGGAACATCTATTCCGCTTGAGATGTCCCGACCGCCTCGGCAATCCCGCCGTGGTTCTTTTCTATGTGGGAAGGTCGGACATGGATTTTCCGCTGAAGCAGCATCTAACGACACATGCTTGCATGCTACTATCGTTGCAGGGGCTATTTCCCATGCCCTAAACAGCGAACTAGAAGTCGCATCGCCAGGGGAGTTGGGGGTGTATCGCGCAACTCATGGTGCCACCCATTGAAGGTAGTCAGAGCGAGGACACCGCTGTTGGGTAGGGCGCGGGGTGCCTGGCGAAACCTATGGCGCAACATGAGGAAGGAAGACAGGGTGGGGGAAGTCGCGATTCGATAGGGCGTGGGGCGTCTGACGCAACCTACGAAGCAAACTTATGGGAGGCAGATAGACAGGAGGACATCGCAACTCGGCGGGGGGTATCTGGCGCAACCTGTGGCGCAACCTGTGGCGCAGCCTGTGGTGCAACCTTTCGAATATAGCCAGAGTTGGTGAGTCGCGATGGAGTGCTCTGGCGGTATGCCTGATGTAGTATACGGCGCAAGATGTGGTGAAACCTGTGGAAGGTAGGCTCATACAGAGAGCCAGTATTTGCTGGCGTCTCGCAAAATTAGTGGCACATGCCGTTCAGGGTTTTCCAGCGGGGTGTAACGAAATAGCTCTTTTGGTGGGTTATTTTCGCACGCTGCATCGCAAGGGCCCTCCCTCCTCCCGCCTCTCGCTTCCTCCTGCTGCTGATTGCCAGGACTCACAGCTGCTGGCGGTGTCCAGAGTGGGTGGTAGTCGATCGTTGTTCTCCCCCTTCCCTCCCAGAGCCCTAGTTTGCAATTCCTGGGAGATCAGATTCAGCATCGGCGCCAGCACATCCGCTGCCAAAGTCCAGGGCAATCCGGCCCAATCTCGCCTAGTCCAGATTATTCCGCTGAGCCCTGGGCCCAACCCAGCTGGTATTGTTTTGGCAGCCGTATAAAGCGAGCTCAGAAGTCTTTACTTGTTCACGATGGAGGACATGGGCCCTGAGGGAAACGGGTCCTAGACCCAGTGCTTTCCCCAGTACTGATCGGTCCGTGGGCCCGTGGATCGGAGCACCAAGGACTCATGATTTCGTCCAGGACAATTTTTTTCATGCTCAGTCGTTCCCGCAAATACCTCTCAGGAGCTGCCTCGCCCCCGAAGCCCGAGAGCGCCGGGGTAGGGGGTGTACATATGCATTCGCCGCGGGGGGAACCGATACTCCTGGAGCCTTGGGGGCGGTGGACGTGGACATGCTGGGGTCCCCCTGGGGCCCAAACGTACCCATATCCGCCGCCCCCTGGATCTGCATCGCGATCTCTTTTCACTCTGCTCTTGGTACGCAGGGCTCGCGCGTGAGATACCACCATGCTGATGGAATTGTTCTCATGGACACAATATCCGCCGCCCCCTGGGATATTTGGGGCATCGGCTCCCCAGGTGGTGGACGGGGGGCCCTCCGAGAAGCCACCCCGCCTCCCAGAAAGCCCTCTTTCGGAGCGTCCGAGCCCTTCCGAGAAGCCGTCTGCCCTCTGAGAAGGCCGTCCCCCCTCGCGCCACCTCCTCCCAGGCATGCGCCGATTCGAGTTGATCAATGCGCGGCACCAGAGGTCCCGACCCCTTCTCTTAAATCGGGCGCGATCCTCTACAGGACGAATATTTTAAGATTGTGTTTTGTTTTTCCAACAAAATACAGCCTGGGGACGATTTTTCTATTATTGTTTGATAACTTGTGGGGTGCTTGTTTCACTGTTTTTAGTGTTTCCTCCCAGATCCGCCTGCAGGAGGACATGCCCGACCCAACACCAGAGGTCCCGACCCCTCCTCGGGGGACCGCTTGCGCGTCGGATCAGCTTTGCACCGTCCCCGGCCCACGAGCAGCCCCCACAGAAGTCCGGCGTCGAGGAAACCCGCCCGGATGGAGGAATCCGGCCGTTTGAGATCTGTCCTGCGCGACGCCACGAAAACCTCCCGGCAGCTTGCCTCCCCCTTCCAAACGCCCGATGGCTTTCGGCGCAGGGGAGCGCTCCAGCGCGTGCCGCGCCACTCTGGAGGGTCGCTCCTCTTCCTTCTCCTTCTCCTCCTCTTCCTCCTCCTCCTTCCCTCCTCCTCCTCCTCCTCTTCCTCCTGCTCCTCCTCCTCCTCCTCCTCCTCCTCCTTCTCCTCCTCCTCCTCCTCCTAGTCGCTGTTTGGGTTTTTCAGGTGCCGCCCGACCGTGCCCCACGTACAACTATACTATACATCACCGAGTTGCGCCCTCCACCCAAAACTTCGGTGGCAGGGGGACTGGGGGACCACCATGGCCAGTCATCTCTTCCGCTAGTTTTAACGGAATATGCATACATGCCAGCGGTGAATGAAAGACATGGGACGTGATTCTACGAGGAACAGCGGCGAAGCCACCGACAGCATCATGTTGTACTGCAGTTCGGAGGGAGGAAGGCTAAGAAGGTGAACGACTCGTGCTGGGCCAGATCTGCCGCAGGACAGGCGAGGGCCAACAGAGCAATCTACCACCCACCGTCTCGATTTCAGGCGGGGCAACAGGCAGTCGAATTACCACAAAACCGCACGACTATGCACAGCACGTATGCTGCTTCGCCCCACGTAAATACCACGAGGAGCTGGCAGGCGCCACTAGCGACGGTGTCGAAAAAGACAGCTCGACCAGCTAAGGCGCCGAACGACGCCAGTTGCTGGATGGGACACTAACAACGGTTACGGATGCCAGAGGGGCGAGTGCTACTACTAGGGGGCCTACGGTCGGAGGGGCCCAACCCATGATAGAAACGGGAAGCCGGACCAGTTTCAGAAACATGTGCAGCGCAGGCGACACGAGCACTGTCGCCGCACGTTACGATATAGGACGCACCTGCCATGGGCATTTAGGTCGCATCAGCAGTATCGACAGCGTCGCCGTTTCTACCGGGGCTCAGGGCCTCATGCAAATGTGCTCCCTGTTACACACCGCAGGGGGAATCTTACACAACATACAAGCTAGTCCCCTCTGCCGCCTCATCGGCCCGCGCCCGTCCCGCGCGCCCGACCCGCCGACAACAAGGGCAGTGCAGGGACGGCTTGATGCAGTGCTTGAAGAATGGACATTATCCTGGCGAAGGACCCAACCATATGCAGTTGTGAGTACCGCAGTTGTGAATATCTTCTTCGGTGGCGCTCCCTATGGGGCCACGAACCGTATAAAGGTGTGCCGAACTGTGTGGCGTAGCCTCTGCAGGGGGCTTCCCTGGGAACCCCGACGGCAGCGCCCGCGCGCCGCGACGCCCATGTCGGCACGCCCCACACGAGGATCGCGCCCGCTTCCTCCCCTCCTTTTTCCTTTTCCTTGCCCGCGCGCTCCAAAGTCCAAGGCTGCCATCGCAGCGCAAGGCGGAGCCCTCGCGACGCGCGCGAGAACGCCTTAGGTGGAGCCTCTATGAGGCCACGAAGCGCGTGAGGGGTGTGTCGAAATGGGTGTGCGGGACGCATGCGGGCACACCCACTGGGACCTTCGGTGGAGCTCCCTCTGGGGCAACGAAGCGTGTACCGACATGGGTGTGCTGGACGCATGCGGGCACGCCCACTGGGACCTTCGGTGGAGCTCCCTATGGGGCCACGAAGCGTGTGAGGGGTGTGCCGAATTGGGCGTGCGGGACGCAAGCGGGCACACCCATTGTGACCGTCGGTTGAAATCCCTATGGGGCCACGAAACGTGTGAGGGGTGTGCCGACATTAGTGTGGAGGACGCATGCGGGCACACCCGCTGGGACCTTTGGTGGGGTTCCCAATGGGGCCACGCAACGTGTGAGGGGTGTGCCGAAATTGGTGTGCGGGGCGCACGCGGGTACACCCACTGGGACCTTCGGTGGAGCTCCGTATGTGGCCACGAAACGTGTGAGGGGTATGCCGAAATGGGTGTGCGGGGCGCATGCGGGCACACCCACTGGGACCTTCGGTGTAGCTCTCTATGGGGCCACGAAACGTGTGAAGGGTGCGCCGAAATGGGTTTGCGGGACGCATGCGGGCACACCCACTGGGACCTTCGGTGGGGCTCCGTATGGGGCCACGAAGCGTGTGAGGGGTGTGCCGACATGGGTGTGCGGGACGCGTGCGGGCACACCCATTGGGACCTTTGGTGGAGCTCCCAATGTGGCCACGAAACGTGTGAGGGGTGTGCCGAAATTGGTTTGCGGGACGCATGCGGGCGCACCCACTGGGACCTTCGGTGGAGCTCCCTATGGGGCCACGAAGCGTGTGAGGGGTGTGCCGAA